ATCCCTTTAAAGATGTGATCCCTTGTTTTCATTTAAGAAAGTGAAAATGCAAATATTTATATGAATAGAAAGTAGAGGTGTTCTAATGACTTATATATATTGGATTTGTAAATTTATTTCTTTGTTTCTTTCAGAATAACACTACATCTGCTACTACTGAGGAATCTACCACGCCAAGCGGTGCCAACACCCCGACATTTATGATTCTAAACCTAGTAGTTGTAGCCTGTTCCGCCCTGAGCGTTTACTTCAAATAAACTCATTTTAAGGTACGTTACATTCGATTTGTCTTCACATTGAAAAGGGATATGGGTGACTAATTATAAGCCGTTACAGCCAGAAGGGATACAAAGGGATATAATTATGTGGGTTTTTTCTAGTGAAACAGTCTAAAGAAAATTGAATTATTGTCGCTAGTATTCCAGCTTCGGTCAAGTTCTACCTTCAAGCCGCAGTGATGCAGAACGAAAAGGGTTGACTTTTGAGACAACACTCTTTCTCGTAAAGAATCGAATAAATAAATGCCTTACCATCAATGTGAATCCTAGGTTTGAAATCGAAAAAAAGCAGACTAATGCTGCTGTCCGGGCAAAATTTCTCTTATTGTACACTGCATGGCATTGCATTGCATTTAATGTCTCTTGTCTTCATTATCCAGCATGGTGCATTTCTCTATTTTTCACATTCCTTAAAGAAACGGACACGAACATACTTGACCAACATTGATATGACTAAAGCCGACAAATCGACCGATTCTGTTTAATTCCGTGTATGTTGGGACAACATGTGTTTCCGGTTTTGAAAAGAATCTCGGTTTAGGCTACACCTCTTTAATGGCGGTCTTCTTAGTTCGTGATCTGATATCTTGCATCTAGGTCAGGAGCGTTGTTTCGTATTCTGTTTGGATCGGAAATCGATCTCAAACCTTTCCAACCTTGTCTCTAACGCCTAGACTATACCTTTTCGTCGAGGCCTTATGAAGACAAAGGGGGACCTGATGATACAGACTACTTTCCTTCCCCTTCAAACCTCCACATCAGGATCTTAATTTTATTCTCTCTCTTTTCAGATTGTGTGTTGCCTTGTGATATAAACTTCTGCTCAAATTCCTTTCTTAATGACAAGTGAATAGAATCGTTATTGTTGAATCTCGAATCTCATTTTAAAATCAGGATTGAAGATGGCGACCACATCTTTCATAAACAACCTAAAATGACGAAATTCGGAGACACGAATGGAGTTTGAAAATACATCAGGGCAATCCGAGTGGTTTTTTGAATTTGTTAATATTTAGTGTGGTCTAAACGTATTTAATTATTCAATGACATTGCATCGCTATAACCCCAAACCCTACACCCATCTTTAAAATGTCAAGCTATTACGACTTTCGTCTTATACCTTGACTGCGACGGTCACTATTGTATCACGGAATGCATTGGATTGTAACGCAAGCTGCATTTGCAACCTTCTATGATACAAGAAATCCAGCTATAACCGTCAAGGTATAAACGAAATGCGTTGGTTTGTGAAGATGAGTATAGACCAAGCTCCCGTCTGTTCCCGAGTTTTTGAAGGTTAATGAAAAACAGTCATTGCTGTCGTGTTTAGATAACCTGTGTGTGGCTGTTTGGATTATGAATGATTTTATAAATGTATATAATAGCGATTTTATCATTTTCAACATTATTTATTTTTATACGACTATAATTAATCAATTTACAAATTTCTGATTGCCTTAAAATTTCTTTTTTTTTCTATTAATATTAACTAAACAATCCCGATTTACATTTACAAATCATAACAAATTATTATTAAATTTTCAAAACATGATGTGATGTGTGATATTTCAATACATAAAATGTGTCTAATATGATAATGTTTAAAAATAAAATTGTTTTTCTACAAATTAATGTGGTTGTTTTGCATCCAACAGAAGGCCAACAGCGGTCTGTGCGATGACTCGTGTAGAACTATATTTGTAGGTTATGATTTTGTTTTTGTCGTAGATTATCCAGGAGTATTTATTGCCCTGTTGTTATTACCATCATGAATGTCATTGTAAACTTGAAAATTCAATTTCAATTTCTAGAAAGTTACTAGAAGCAGTGTTCTAGAAGGTCGTCGTTTTTACCACTTTAATATTCGCACGCATGCAGGTAAAGGCTGCATGAATTTTCCATAAATAAATTTACAGAAAAACGAAGAATTTCTTGTTTTTCCACAGAACGTCTATAGCCAAAGATGGAAGCTTTTTGTCCGAATAATGACTTTGATTTTTGTACGCTGTGCAGATAAACTTGAATCAGGGTATGCTTACTCTTCTAGACTCCTGATACCACTTTTCATTATGAAATACAACCTTACTTTTGATGTACTTCCTCATGTGATAAGTTCAATAGCTGCTTTTAATGTTTTGCCAATATGTTGTTTGGATTTTGGGTTTCATTCGGCGGTTCCGATCTTTCGAACTTGTTATATTTACCCTCCATGGTGCAAGATCGATTAGATGGACTGCTGCTGGTGATATATGAGCGGCAGATTTGCTGGTCACAACGATGAATTAATTGACGCATACAGGCAAGTGCCTCGAGAATAACCCCGTTACACTGGCTTGGTCGCTGACAAACGTAGAGAGAACGCAAGAAAAAGTCCCGTAACAAGTGGTTGCCTTGCAAGATACGCCCACTTCCCTGATACATTTTCAGTATATCAAGTGTGGTCACCGATCTGTTACAAATCATACCAAAAATCTAATTGGTGCAAGATATTGTTGATTTAAACAAACACACAAAATTTAATATCGCGTTAACAAGCCAACAAATTTTGTTGAAAAATCAAATTCGAACTTGTGCAAGATATCATCATTATAAATGATCACACCAAATTTCATTTAAATCGGACGAAAATTGTAGCCTATCGTGTTCACGCATTTTTCTTAAGTGAAGGGCAATAACTCATATTGGCGACAATGATGCCAATCGTACGGTATGTGACGCTACTGAGCTCTGAGCTCATTTTCAGCTCAGAAAGGGTGCCGTTCCGGTGTGACGGAGCTGGAACTGTCATCTTGTTGAAACACTGAACTGGGCGTTATTCCGATTCTATGATCTTATTTAATTTATCTTAGCAATGCCTTAAGTAAAAGATATTTTTTCCGAGTCTTGCATTATAACATGTCGTGTTTAAATTGTGTTCGGATTGTACAAAAGGTGCAGTTGTATAGGGGGCGCCAAAACGATTTCTGCCCGTCCAGTCAATTTGGAGCCACCACGCCACTGTTCCAGACTATGAAACCTGACATTGGCCTGATCCCCGATCTATGAAACTTGACATTGATCTGATCCCCGAACTATGAAATCTTGACAATAACCCGTTACCGAACTATGAATGTTGACATAGATCTGACCCTTGAACTATGTAACTTGACATTGACCCGATCCCCGAACTATGAAACTTGACATTGACTTGATTCCTGAACTATGAAAATTGACAATGACCTGATTCCCGAAGTATGAAACTTAACAATGACTTGATTACTGAACTATGAAACTTGACATTGACCTGACGCCGAACTATGGATCTTGGCAATAACCCGATTACCGAACTATGAAACTTGACAGTCACCCGTTTACCGAACTATGAAAATTGACAATGACCTGACTCCTGAACTATGAAACTTGACAACGGCCTGATTTCCGAACTATGGAAATTGACAAGGACCCGATTCCAAAACTATGAAACTTGACAATGACCGATTTCTGAACTATGAATCTTGACAAAAAGAAACAATGATCGCTGTGTGTTTCACTTCATTTAATTGTGAAAGCAATCAAATTTCGAGATAAAATATTTTCTGATTTCCCATCCCTTAGACTACTCGTAATCCATTCCTTAGACTACTCGTAATCCATTCCTTAGACTACTCGTAATCCATCCCTTAGACTACTCGTAATCCATTCCTTAGACTACTCGTAATCCATCCCTTAGACTACTCGTAATCCATTCCTTAGACTACTCGTAATCCATCCCTTAGACTACTCGTAATCCATTCCTTAGACTACTCGTAATCTATCCCTTAGACTACTCGTAATCCATCCCTTAGACTACTCGTAATCCATTCCTTAGACTACTCGTAATCCATTCCTTAGACTACTCGTAATCCATTCCTTAGACTACTCGTAATCCATTCCTTAGACTACTCGTAATCCATTCTTTAGACTACTCGTAATCCATCCCTTAGACTACTCGTAATCCATCCCTTAGACTACTCGTAATCCATCCCTTAGACTACTCGTAATCCATTCCTTAGACTACTCGTAATCCATCCCTTAGACTACTCGTAATCCATCCCTTAGACTACTCGTAATCCATTCCTTAGACTACTCGTAATCCATCCCTTAGACTACTCGTAATCCATTCCTTAGACTACTCGTAATCCATCCCTTAGACTACTCGTAATCCATTCCTTAGACTACTCGTAATCCATTCCTTCGTTTAGTCAGAGACATCACTCGAGGCAGCCTGAAAGGAGATGAATACATCAACCTCAAGTCATGTAATATATTCATGACGACGACAAATAAGGACAGTGAAGTTAAGTCACAAAATAAAGCTGAGATTTTTATTAAAAAAATGCAATTATACATTTGTGAAGGGGCCTCAAAAGTCATTGTTAACTAATGGGTAAATAAATGTCCAAGATTAAGATATAAGGCACAACAGAATCAATTCGAATCCGATTCAGAATCAGAATAACCTCCCAGCATTCCTAAAGCATTCATTCCAGGCTTCGATTGGCCACTACTAGTACTTGATAGAGTCACTGATTGGCTGGAATTTTTCAATGTCTCTGATTGGCTAGTCTGTTTTCCAGTTCCTGATGGGCTAGTTTGTTTTCCAGTCTCTGATTGGCTATTAGAATTTGAAGATTTAATATTTGATTTGCTGTCACTATTTGAATTTATCACATAATTTGATGATGTCTCTGTTTCAACTTTCGGTTTCTTCTTGACTATCAGTCCTGCTAAACTTTTCTTGGATTTTCCAACACCAGATAACGTACCCACACTTTTTTGCCAAGATTCCAATTTTTTGGGTTCTTTTTCTACTGTTTTCTGAAATGGAAGGTAAAAAAATGAATATTTTCATAAAAAAAAAAAAAGATAGTGGATCACAGCCATATACGCCCACCGCGGCATGCGGTTGGTAAATATTAAAGATTTTGGGGCAAGGGCGGACGGTTGGACGGACGGACAGAGTGTTTACGAGCAATTGATGTTGATAGAAGCACTAACTGTATAGAGGTTAAAGGGCGATAACTACTCAAAACTGACGTGAGAGGCCTAAATCTTGAAAAAGCCTTAAATTTAATCAGAAGTAAACTAAACTTTCTTAAACCTTTCGATTTAGGTCCAATAACATCCATTTTAAGTTTCATCAAAATCAGTTGAAAACTAAGAGAGTAATAGCATATTCAAGATTTTGGGGCAAGGGCAATAACTCTGCTTCTAACGGTCGAAAATAGTTCAAATTCGAACTTGATCTTTTTTTTATGAATATGTATACACATACTGAATTTCATTTGATTCCATCAAAAACTCTAGCTTTTAGAGCGTTTACAAGCAAATGTTGACGGGTGGACAGACGGAGTGTTTACGAGCAATTGATGTTGATAGAAGCACTTACTGTATAGAGGTTAAAGGGCGATAACTCCTTAAAACTGACGTAAGAGACCAAAATCTTGAAAAAGCCTTAAATTTAATCAGAAGTAAACTAAACTTTCTCAAACCTTTCGATTTAGGTCCAATAACATCCATTTTAAGTTTCATCAAAATCAGTAGAAAACTAAGAGAGTAATAGCATATTCAAGATTTTGGGGCAAGGGCAATAACTCTGCTTCTAACGGTCGAAAATAGCTCAAATTCGAACTTGATCTTCATTTTATGAATATGTATACACATACCGAATTTCATTTGATTCCATCAAAAACTCTAAAACTCAAAACCGACCGACAGGGCAGTGCGTTGACGATAATATAGAGAGATGTGGGCGTATAAAAAACAAATAGAAGTCTAAAATAAATCCATCAACAATCATCTATTTGTTTTTTTTAGTGATAAAATGTTATTGACAAACATAGAAAGTTGATAAAACGAAGATCTTATTTTCAGCTAATATTTTTAACATATTAAATACAATACTGTATTAACAGTAAAAACATTTCATGGAAGGAATTTTATTATCTTCACAGATATTTTGATTTCACTGATGAACAAGACAACCCGAAGGTTCATTCCTCAATTGACTAGCTAAAAGCTCTACAAACTTGATTGAGATTAACCTGCACTTATGTTAAGTATTTTGGTGGGTGTTACTCAATGCCGCAAGACAGCCCATACAACACCAAACACATATCTATAGTCAAGACAAGATATTTTCTAACATCTGGACCCAATTTAAAAAAAAATATGAGCAGTCAAGTTTATTCTATATGGTAATGAACAGAATAAATAAGCTTATAGATTGTTTAGTGTCAATTGCTAGTCATTCTACCTACAAATAAAGTGGACTACTAATATTGATGTATGGGATCCAGATCTGCACAAATATTTGTGCTTGACACTATAATAACGATATACTATTTAGTGGGCATTTACTAATCAACACAAATAGAATATTGTGGGTGACCGCTTGAAACCTTGTAGATGCCATATTTGGTCATTTTGACTTTTTGGTACCGTTCAAAAGCTTGTAAAAGCGTGGATCTTGTGATTAAAACCTTGTATTCATAGCTTCTTATACTGTATTATTATACGAGTTTTTGGTTCAATCTGCCAGAGAACTCAAATTGTTATACAAGGTTTATATTTTCAAAGAATGAAAACCACGTATAGCAGTAAAAAAAATAATAATAAAGATTTTAACAAAATATGCGTACAATTAGTTGTTTGCATTTTTCTCGAAAGTAATTTCGTGTCATATATCGTTATACGAAGTTTCAAGTAGTAACCCACGGTATCAGTTTTTATGGATTACAATCACTTTATTTCTTAAATACAACATCTCTACAAGATTTCACTAGTCTCAATTATAACAATAATTTGGTTTTTTGGTAAAATCAATTTGTGCTTAGTGACCCACCTCTGATAATATATCTGTTGGTTTATCAGTTTTTAATCGTTTATTGCTGTCTAACGATGTTACAATCTCTGTGTCATTGCCGTCATCACTGTCAGAATCTACCAGTCTCTTCACACTCATACCATCCTTCGAACCAAATAACGATCTGGAAAATATCATAAACACAAGTTACTTCCCTTGAAAATTCGAAATTTATTTTGAAAAATTCACAGGTTTACACATTAACAACAATAATCTTAATGAGAAGATACAAGTAGCAACAAAGAACATGGACACAAACACCCTTAACACTTTCCAGTTTTGCAGTGATCAAGCTTATACAAAATAATAAAGCAAATGAAAATCAATAACAATGTCTCCTTTAAATAACTAACAGGACCCATAGTTATGGAGGTCATGATCAAACCTACCGGTAAAGGAGCATTATAGATCACAAGTTTAAGAGGAACAGCCCCTAATTCCCCAGCAGATAAGAATCCAACATGACAGCACCATTCCACTGCAACCTATCGGCAGGAATACTAATGGCTATGCAGAAGAGAACATAAACATACTGAGGCACTCTTCCATCAAATAACATCAAAAAGATTTTTTAATAAGAGAAATAAGATTCAATACTGATTGACTAATTCCACTGCCATTTAGTTAGGTAGATTAAAAGTAACTTACTGAACCATTTGTTCATCTTCTTCATCTTGTAAACGTTTGAGATTTTCTTCAAATGCTGAATGTAGTTGTATCATATGTTGATGGTCTACGGCTGCATTCCGTGTATTAAGTTCTCGTAGTTCTTCCAGTGTATCTAACTGTTCTATTTCATTTCTACTGGCTTTAGTTCTGTTCTCTAATACCTGCAATTATAAATGGTCTTAATGACATAGTCCAGAGAATATTCCCTGAAACATTTGCATGGCTTTTTGTGATGCCATCCTCATTATCATTTCAAAGAAGGAAGCGCATTGTCTTCATATATTTGTCAGCACTCAGCAAATCAAATTTCAACAATTAATTTTAAGCAAATTTACTTATCAAATATGACTTTGCGTTGATAAAACTATAAACACGAGCACACATTATCATTTTAAAATTTGTTTTTACAATGGACAAATTTCTGGGAGGAAAGTGTGTTTCAATTCAACAAATTCCTTTTTACTGACAAATGTGCAAAGTGATTATCATCAAAATAACTGTCTGTTTTGAACACTGTACTTGTAATATTGAGTTAGGGAAAAGGTACAAAACTCAGTACTGACCTTCATGGGATTCAAATCTTCCTCTTCCTTTGCTTTCTGTTCTTCTTCTGCCATTTTCTTAGCCAGTTTTTCTGCCTCAAATAATCTGGTAGCACCTGCTTCTAGAGTATAGTCTGTATCTTTTAAATTAGTCTGAAATAATACAGTAAATATCAATAATAACAGATATTTCAACGGATGTGGTTGTGTAAGTACTTGCTTAACTAGCCTAGGATAGAAGTCAATTTAAGCTATCTGTTTAACATGAATTCTTGTCAAATTTAAAATTGTACAGGCTCTGTTTTGAGGGAATATTTAATATCATATTTGAATATCTCTTTGCAATATTACCAAGTTTTGGCAAAATCCTGCAAGGATCATGCTTTTTTTTTAAATATTGATATCCTAATCACAAATAGATATTCTACTCATTCTAACTCATATGAACACAATAAAACTATACCATCTATAATAGTTTGATTAAGTTCATTGAAAATTAACATCACAATTGTTATAAACATTACTTTAACCCTGTGCCAGTGCCTACCATGAATTGTAACTTGTTAATTCCGCTGCACACTAATACTTACCTTGAAAGCTATTTCAGCCACACAACATGGACATTTAATATAAAACCTGAAGATACGAAGACCATAGTAAAACTCATCATCCACATTTTCTTTACGGGAGTTGAATTTTTTACCTTTATAGATATACACACCGCATGTATTACATCTGGAATATAAATTTTATAATAGAAACATCTTCATATAGAATCATGTCATTGTGAAGGAGACTTATATCTAGAATGGTCATTGATCAACAACTTTGAAATGAATATTCAACAACTTCTCAAATCTGAGTTGAAATTTGGTCAATATTATAATATTTATTTATTTTTCATGTACAGACTCAAAAGAGCAAGGAATTAGCATCTCAGCATGTCAAAAATGAAGCAAGTATATAAAAAAATCCTTGTAATAATCTTCCAACAGAAAGTGAAAAATGATTGATTAAACCAACCTCATATTGAAGGGTGCCATGACACGAATGGAAAATGTTCTATTCTTCGGCCCCTTAACCTTAGGGATTTTAGACGGGTCAAATGTTGGTGGATAGTATTTCTGAAAACAATGAAATTAAATGGTTAGACAAAATGTCAAATCCTTCATTAACCAAATAAATTGCTGCTTTTGAAACCTACAAAGTCATCTCATAAAACTTTTTTTTCATCTTTTTCCATCAAACTTTTTAAAATAATTTTGTGTCCTTCAGTAAGCTTACAAGCCCAATGCAAGTAAAACATAATTTACCAGTCCTATATTTTACATCCATCAACCCTTCATTACCTCTCCTTTTCAGGAATTTTATCTTTTGATATAATTGAAAGTTTAAAACAAGGTAAGGTGTAGGGCGTTCTAATACTATCAATATAGAAAATTTGCTTTTTATTCAACTTTATTGATGGTCCAACACAATGTTTTGTGAACACGAAGACAAAATTCAGCACTTATTTAATTGCTTGTTAAATTATTTTCAATCTATTTGCAAATGAATGTATCTTAAAATGATTTATTATTTCCAAATCTACTTACATTTAAAACTTTTCTTTCAGACATTATCTAGGTTTTTGGTGATCTTCTAGAATAATTGAATGATCTATAAGAGACATTAAATGCAATGCAATGCCATGCAGTGTACAATGAGATAAATTTTGCAAGGACAGCGGCATTAGCCTGCTCTTTTTTGATTTGCAACTGTCGAGGGATCTTTAACGTGCACAGCCTGTAGCACACAGGGCCTCGGTTTATTGTCCCATCCGAACGACTAGACGCTTTTTCTTTTGTCATCCCCTCTTAGTTGCATCTCTGACAGGGGAAACCGGGTGGAAAAATCTGAAGGTTTTATCTCTATCTATGTCAGGATGCTTTTTACATGCTACGAGGGAAAAAACCCAGAAAGTATGTGACGTCTAGAGTGTAGAGAGCAACAGTGCCCTTGGTTCTGTCTCTTCAGGAATTTTAGTGACTTGGAAATGTTCGGGAAATAGCAAAAATGCCGAGCCAGAGAGAAGCAGAGGGCAATAATAACTCAACATGGAACGATCAGTTGGCGAATTAATACTTCAGACATTGAAATTTGAAATCCTCAATACAAAATTGAAAGTAAGTAACTGCCGGATAAATAATGGCACTGTGATTTTCTAAAAACCAACAAACCTACCTGCCAGTGTTCACTAAAATTGGTCAAAAAAGGTAAATTTTCTTAAAACGTACAAGATTGTTTTTACCGGAAGCAGTAATAAAGGGAAGATAATTCACAAAATTTAATTATGAATCGGACCACATCACATTTTTCTTTTTCTTAAATTACCTCCAGTTTGTTTAGCAACTGTTATGTAGGCCCCTATGGCTTCACATAATGTAATAATGTTGACCGACGCTAATTATGTAAGAGTGAATAATTGGAAATGCCCAGCACTTGAATATGGGTCATAGACAGCCTCGTCGAGTACAATATCTTAGCACCAGCACCATGCAATTTATTCCTGGTTGCGAGTCTGGTCATAAAGTGATCAACAGGGACAATATTTGGGGTATAGATCATGGGGTGAAACCTTATAAATGTATGAAATAAAGTATAATGAATTCGAAAGTCAATTTGTCCTAATATATAGGGATATAAGGTCCAGTTACTTAAAAAAAATAACTTCAAAATACACTGTTTAATGTCCAAAAAGCTAAATAAAATAGCATTTAAAATGCTTAAACCTTCATTGATCTTACTTACAGTGGCATTGTTAAACTGAATTCAACAGAGATTTTCTAGTCTTTGTATGTGTATAAGAGACACTTGTGGCTTCTATTTACACCATTCTCAACCCGATAAAGGGATTTTAAAAGAGGTTTTGTAGGCCTATATGAAGGCTTTTGGGGGAAACTTATAGGCCAAGCTATTGCTCTTGTAATTTAAAATAAAACTGATCATAATACCTCATCACTTTTGCGGAAACCATTTGGGCATGGGAATTTCTGTATGAGAATATGAAAATATTATTTGAATATACCGGTAGTTGTGAAACATATTATTATCTTCAATATATATATTATTAACACTGAATAGAATAATATCCCCATAGTAAACATATAGTTAAAAACACAAAATTTACAATAAGATTTCTATAAATGAATTGTCAATACCTTGTTAAAGTCATAAAGCCCTCTAATTTTATATGAATTTATCTTAAAATTAATTAAAAAATTGCACATGTAGATATACAAAAAAAACTTGACATTGGATTTAGCGATTCCAACCTGATGAGGGGTCTTCAATGTGCACAGCCTGTAGCACACAGTGTCTTAGTTTAATTTCCTTCAAAACAACTAGATTCCATTAAGCAAATGAGAAATATATGTATTCAACCTCTGCAGGAATTAAACTCTGGACCTCCAATTTAGCAAGCAAGCGTTAAATCACTGAGCTACTGCATCTCTGTATTGAAAATAAAGTAAAATATTCCTAAGACCATGATAACCTAGTTAAATAGTTATGAAAACTTAAAATACTGGATGAAAGAAGCTATGAGTGATAAGGCACTGGATGTCTGTGACTAAGCTGAGACTATGTTTTCCTCTATTTGTCGTAATGCTGCGACGGCTGCAAAAGCTGCACCTTGACCACTACCATCTTTAGCTAGGATTAACTTAACCTGAAACAAAGAGATCATCCATTGTAAAGGTGGAGATTTGTTCAGAATTTGGCTCGGGAAGTTTCCAACCAGTAAGTGGAGGATAATTCATGGCCAGTTTAAGTTTTCCTTCCTAATATGGAAAAATGTCAAAATATTGAAAAGGTGCTCAGAGGCATCAGATGTTCTTGATGGGGTGCCTATTCTGATCCAATTCTCTTCTAAGATACCACCTTTATAAAGAGATCGTTTGGTTCGGTCCCTTGATTGGTCTATTCATACAGGATTCATACTGTTAGCAGCTAACTGTAAGTCTACATATGTATTTAAGTCTATATGTAAGAAATTCCCCCACTCCATCTCACAACCTATTGTAGATCAACCTGAAAGATCAAGCACCTCCACCCACTCATTCAGCTCTATATACTTTGCTTACCTGTGTATGTAAGTTGAGCTGTGAAATTAACTCCATCATGTAATTATGAAATTTAGGATGATGTTCGTACAGTGATCCATCTATTGCCACGGTAACCTCAGGTAGATTGACATGTCTTATCAATACCGCTAAAGCTGTAATTCAAAAATACATCTTGTTAAAATATATCTACTTGTTCTGTATATTCTAGACTGAAGAAGTTTTTTTATACCCCTTAAGTATTGGCCAAGGTCACAAGAAAAAAAATGCTCCAAAGAATTATAACAGAGTTACTTCTAATAGACCTGTCGTATCAAGTTTTAAACATCAAATTGTTCTATAATCTACAATAAAATTGTTGAAGATAAAAACCTTTGTGCCATCAGTTTTAAAATCTAACAGTTAAAATAAAAAACTTGTAGTTGAGAAGTAAAAAGTCATACAGCCATACAAGTACATTAGGGTTATTTACAGCATTCTGATTTGCTGTCAGATATCTGTAGTTCCTTGGTAATGATTTAAAAGCTGCTATTATTGATATATATTTGTGATAGTAACGTCATAAAGCACCTAATTTTAGTTAAATTGCAAAAACCACTGACGTCTGACATCTTCAAATTGATGCTGTCCTATACATTTGACATATATGAAATTTTTAATAATTGTACGAATAATGTCCGTTAGAAATGAAACTAAAGGAAACACTTTGTGATTTTCTTAAATAAAGCCACAAGTAGGCCTACCTGCTGCCACGATGTAGGAAGCTCTTTGTACAACAAAATCACAGACTTCACGAACTATAGCAATATCTTCATCACTAGCTGTGGATAGGTTCAATTTCTCTAGGATATTTCTGGTGTTGGTTGTTTCTTTATCTTTATCACTGGAAGTTAAAAATATTATCATATTATTCGTAACTGGTCCTCATTTCTAAATCATCTTAGAAAGAAGGGTAGAATTGCTCCCAAATGTGGAATTTGGAAAATAAGAAATCTGATTGGCTTAAATTAATTTTAAATTTAGTTTTACTATCCAATCAGATTACTGTATTTATTACTGTTTTACTCCGAACATTCATAATCATTAACCTCACCTGTCAATCTTCGTCACAAACCCAGACGTAAATTTCCACCTGGTGGCCAATTCTTCAGTCACATGGCCATTAAATAACACTCCCTCATTGGTCAGTTTTACTAACACAAGACGTACAAATTCTCCTAAATACATACCAGCGAATGACTTCTCAAACCTTAAATATCAGAATATTAATATCAGAACATAAATATCTGAATATATAAATATCTGAATATATAAATATCAGGATATAAATATCTGAATATAAATATCTGAATATAAAAAATATCAGAATATATAAATATCAGAATATAAATATCAGAATAAAAATATCAGAATATAAATATCAGAATATAAATATCTGAATATAAATATCTGAATATAAAAAATATCAGAATATAAAAAATATCAGAATATAAATATCAGAATATAAATATCAGAATATAAATATCTGAATATAAATATCTGAATATAAATATCAGAATATAAATATCAGAATATAAATATCTGAATATAAATATCTGAATATAAAAAATATCAGAATATATAAATATCAGATTATAAATATCTGAATATAAATATCTGAATATAAAAAATATCAGAATATAAATATCAGAATAACAATCATTTCAGAAAGCTATAACTGTATAATTGCGAATATAGGGAACCCAAGAAATTGGGAAAAAATCCATTTACCAAAATCCTTTATATACGCAAATACAAAGTGATTTGGAATAATAACCTACACTGTTGTAAATTAAGTTGTAAGTTATGTTCTGTTAATGTTATGTTAAGTAAAGTTTTAAGTTACATTTTAGGTTAAGTTTTAATTCAAGTTTCAAGTTAAAAACTTACGTAAAAGAATTAACATGGTTGGAATGTTGATCTATTTCTTTCTCGAATTCTGTTTTATAAAAATCTAAACAACCAGAATCTCCCATACATCCCCATTCTACGTTTACCAATACCTATTATACAGTTGAAACTGGTTATTAGGGACTAGTTCAACTTTCAACTACACCAGTAAGCGTGATTACTGTGATCAGCTTGGCTGTAATTCAAGCTGCTTAGTCAGATAATTCACAAAAATCGACTTCTTTCCAGCTGCTCTTCCACCTTGTGATCAGGTGAAAATCATGACGGCAACTTCAAAAGGTAAACAGTGACTGACTTGCAGAGGCTTACAGGTCTACACCCACTTATGGTAATTTGGTATTTTGATTTACAATGATAACATAAAAGACATAAATCCAATTTTCAGTCAAAAGTCTGTTAGTTTTGCAATTTTCTGAAACTAAGCAATTTATGACCCTAGCACAAAGACCCTTGTAAACAACTTGTGTTGTAGTGACATCATATCAATAAAAACAAGCTAGAAAACCTCTTTAAGTTATCGTGAATAAGACCCAAGATAAAAATGAAATGAAATGAAAGGAGTTTTACGTCCTGCACCATGTGGGCTAATGAAGACAGGCAAAGCCATGCAGGGTGCAATGAGGGAAATTTTGCCAGGACGGCTGCATTAGCTTGCACAGCCTGTAGCCTTGGTTTATTGCCCCATCTGAACGACTAGAGGCTTTTTCCATGTCTGCTCCTTTTACCTGCATCACTGACAGGGGGAAACTGGGTTGAAAAATCCAAAAGTATTATCTTGACCTATGCTGGGATTGAACCTTGGACCTTCAGGTTAGTGAGCAAGCGTCTAACTCACTGAGCCACCGTGACTCCAAAGTCCCAGGTAAAGACTGAAACACTACCTGTTTTGGTTCCTTAAAATCACCACCATATTTCTCTATATTTTCTAAATGTTCTACAAATGCAGCATTCGACCCAGTTCCTGAAAATTAAGTTAGATTAGTTAAATCCATTTTGAAAATCCTGTTTTATTTTAGTCAAGTTGTGGAGAAAAGGACCCTGGACAATCGTATTGAATAAGAGAATAAAAAAGCTTACCGAGAATGACTCCAATACGACATTTTTTATCAAGATAATTGCCTGCCATCAGAGTACTGGTTGTGTCACTCATTACAGCTACAATATCTACTGGTAAACCCTGTAACATATTACATAATATACATTATAAAACCAACAGGATTATTACTAGCATATTGTGGTCTGGAATAGTTCTAGCTTAGTAAGAGTTACATTCCTTATAGTCAGGCAATGCAGAGTTGCTTGCCCCTGTTATCATGTGACTGGAAATAGAAGGGTCTTGAGTGGGTTTTAAAAGCCAACTGCCTTACCGCCCCTACCTAAATGTACTTAAATAAGTATAGTTAGATTAAATGATTGCAGATTTTCATACTACAAAATGAAACTAGTCAATTTGGTAGAATTTTTGTCAATATTATGCTATAAAAATCCTTAAATTTAACATATTTACTTATTTTAGCGTATTTTATTATTTGGCTTTTAAAACCTAAGTTTCTTGGGCAGATTGTAATAAAGCATGATTGACTTACTGGAGCTTTCCTAGCGATAGCCTGTTCTAAAAGTTGTACAGAATCAGATCCTACACCATCAGGACATTTAAAACTTTTAGTCCAGGTCAGTAATATAGCACTGTTTAACGCTAGCTGGGTAGACGGGAAGGAAAATGTGAAACCTATAAATAAGATATCTATTAATATTATTATCATAATAAATGTCTTTAGAAACAGAAGAAATGAAAAGGATCACTTAACATCATCCTATTTGTCTGCACTTAATTAGGCTAATGAAGATGGGCAAGGCCATGCAGTATGTGATTAAGAAAATTAACATAAAATCAACAGGCAAGCTTCTAACTCTATTATCCATTGCACCCCGTGACATAAAAAGAATGCCAAGGATAGATTTTCGAACAGTTTGTTAGAGAATTAAAACATTACATCATATACTTCATTACGCCAAACTATTCATTATGTTATTATGTAGGTGACCTTGAAGTAGTCATCTTTTCTCTCATTCGACCAAGATGTAAACAGATATCGAGAATTTTGGAAAAATCAATGCTATGAAGTTTGGCTCAGGCATAAAACAGGATCCTTATAAATCAATCTAACCTTTGACCTACCTAAAGGTATTTTGGAATCTGAATTGATGAGATTTTCTTGTTGTAAAAAGTCTTTGATACTTTCAGCTATAAAATCAAACACCTAGAAAATAAGAGTTAACTATTTCATAACAATTCTAAATGTATACATAACGAGGATATCTGACATTCTGGTCATTCAGGATTAAATCTCTTATCCTAGCAAATTTATTTCATTGCACAATGGGGGTCATTCTTCTTCATTCAATGAAACTGGCCCATTCAAACCACTGTCCCATTCTACAAAAAAAATCTTGCAGGATGATAAGAATTTTTCCCAACTGTGTAATCTTATATTAAGAAACACCATAATTATGACAAATATACGGTCATAAAATTAGCTTGTCCGATTAAGGGTCAGATTCAATGAAGCTCTGTAACCTTAAATTAATCAAGCTCAACTCACCCCAGCACAGGGCCCTGATAAAACTTGTTCTGTTAATGTATAATATTTAGTTGTAGTGGATGCCATGCCATCTTTTAATTGGACTCGAACAACTCGGAAATTAGTTCCACCGAGATCTAATCCTAGATAGTCACCATTTTCTATAATACAGACAGCATTTTAATATTCAATAAACATAAGGTGAGATTTATAAATTTATTTGCACAAAGGTCAATCAGACTTAGGTCAGAAATGATAAGTTTTCTGAGGCTTTCTGTCTAACTATGGAATATAGCAAATAGCTTGCTTAATTTGACACTAACATATAAGGAAATCCATCTTTAACATTCAACTATTTCTTTTAGTTGCCTTAAAATTCATCTACATTTTCTCTGATGTCTTTATTTATACATATCTAAGTATTTACACTAATAAAATATTTTTACTGTTAAAATAGTGCTTAATACATCAATTATAGAGTGATATAGAAATACCACTGTTAAAATAGTGTCCAATACATCAATTGTAGAGCAATATAGAAATACCACTGTTAAAATAGTGCTCAATACATCAATTGTAGAGCGATATAGAAATACCACTGTTAAAATAGTGTCCAATACATCAATTGTAGAGCAATATAGAAATACCACTGTTAAAATAGAGTTCAATACATCAATTGTAGAGCAATATAGAAATACCACTGTTAAAATAGTACTCAATACATCAATTGAAGAGTGATATAGAAATACCACTGTTAAAATAGTGCTCAATACAACATTTATAGAGCAATCCAATGACATTACTTTGAACTTTCAGTAAAACTATTGTTTATGGAAATATTGGAGCATTGGAAACTGGACAAAAAAATTTCAGAACAACTCAACTCACCACCACCCTGTAATAGACATCGTACATGAGTTACTGCCATTAAAATATCAGATTTTTTTCTGGTGTTCTCGTCCTTGCTGGTGGCCAGTTTCATCTGTTCTTCCATTACATCCATCAAACGTTTTATCTTGTCTTCTCCTAGATATAGTGGCTTGAGTATTTCTTCAAACTACAAACAAAAATAATTAAAGATAGCTAGCCAGTCAAGGTACTATACGCCCACTGGCAGCTATTTAGGAGTACAGTAACAGAATGAAATATTTCACCTATACACTTTTGAACTTTTTGGGGTGATTCTGAAAAATATCACCAAGTTTTGTCAAAATCCGGCAAGAATCACATCTGTAAGTGTTTATGATCTCAAATTTGAATGCAGTTTCAAGTTAGATTTCATGTGGGCGTATATAAAAATAATTAAAGATAGCTAGCCAGGCAAGGTAATATACGCCCACTGGCAGCTATTTAGGAGTACGGTAACAGAATGAAATATATGTAAGTGTGTTTATGATCTAAAAATTGAATGCAGTTTCAAGATTTCATGTAGGTGTATAAAAATAATGGTGAAACTATGATCAAAGTTAGTCTAATCCAAGGCCCAAAAATAATTAAAACCATGTTGAAAGTTTATCATAGCCAAAGAGAATCAAGATTTACATGACTCAAAAAATGGTTTTCAAGCCAGATAATGATGTCACCATCACAAATACCATTCTAGTAAAATATAGTTTCATTAGTGAGGTTAATATCTGATCAAATTCTCTGATATTACAAGTTATTAAAAGGGAACCAAAATCGTCCCAGAAAAAAGGGCTTTTTCTACAAGTAAGCTAGGAAATTTTCTCTGAATCCATGAAGAAAGAGTGAGCTATCCAGTAAATGGTGATCAGGGAAAAAGTTGAGAAACTATGACATATTTCTAGCAGCTTCAGTGAAACACGGTAGAGATATGTTATAGTTTTAGATGCGCTGAAAAGAAGCCGTGCTCAACTATACTTACTTTCTGTTTTTTAGCAGAGGCTACATCAGTTAACCTCTCCATTCTGTTAGCTACAGCATCCATATTGATTTTATAGTCACTGGATCACTTGCTCTGCAATTATAAAGAGAAAGCCAAAATGTACTTGTCAAAATCGAAAACTTGTATTTATCCACTGTATATATTATGAACTAACTAAACCAAATTGTAAATTGCCAAAGTCAAAATCTCTAACTAGAGATCCATCTACACAATTTGTACTGACAACATTTGCTGGCCTTGGTATATATTAACTTGTAGCCATAATCCCCAGCATGTTCTATGTTGAATTAGGCCAATGTCACTGTATCAAGTTTTTAAACAGGTAACTGAATATTGAATAATGCTTAAAGATACAATCTCAAGGATATAAAGAGACAGATTCACCATTCATTTTATCAATCGCAACATAGTCTCAGAAAAAGGAATTTTTTTTAACTAATTTCATCAGTAGACTTAGGCTACTGTAATATTGTTTTTGAAGGTATGTAATGAATCTAAGAAGAAGTGGTAAAGAACTGAAATGCTATTTATTATAATTATTCAGTAATGAATTAGAATTGAAGAAAATAGCTCCAACATGTGGATCTGGCTATTTTATCTCCAATTACAATTAATATGATCAGATTGAGATTCAAGAAATGATTGAAATTTTTGTGTCAGATTATTGTCAGATCTTAACCAAAAGCAAGACTCAAAACAATTCTTTCAAAATATAAAAAAGAATTCGATTCAAATATCACAGTTTCAGTGAAGAGAAATCATTAGACATTGGTCTGCTAATTAATTAAAAAATAATGTAGCCTATAGGCCGAAACATCTGCCCCTATATTTGCTCTTATATCTATTTTGACAGTTGTCAGCAGGTGCAGTGACAGTCCCTGTTTGATGGAGATTTTCCACTGCTCCGAAGATGCTGGTATTTTCGACATATTCATTTATTTGACTTACTGTCAAAATAGATATCAGAGGCAGATATTTCGGACTACATAATGTACTTCGATATATAATGCTGAATACAGGCCTAATAATTGAACTGCAGCAAGTATCTAAAATATGACATGCATACAATCGAACATTACTTGAAGCAGAAGACAAACCTCGTATTGTTCTAATCTAAAACTTCCTGAGTCTAAACTGTAAAATTGTCCAAGTTCAGCTCACAAATGTATACGATGTGCCAGCACTTCAGTTTTCAAGGACGCTGACCTTTTATTGAACTTTCATCATGTAAACAAACAAATTACTTCCCTTGAATTTTATGACTACAGTTAATTCTCTCAACTACTTCCAGTGTCGTATACTGATTACTTCTCTTGCACAAGACTCAGCGAGTTCTAACTATGACTACAGTTAATTTTCCCATAGACTACAAAAGATGAATTACTTCCCTTCGACTCTGACTACAGTTAAATTTTTCATCGATTAAAACAGACTACAAATAAATTTGAAATAGACTCAGACTACAGTTAACTGTATCATGAATAGAAAGACCACAAATAAATTTTGTGGGATAAACAGTTAATTTACCTGGGATAAGACTACAATTAATTCTTCTCAACTAGATACAATCTTGACTCCAAGATACAATACAATCTTAAAATCTGTTGCATAAATAAACCAAGTACTAACAGTAACACAGGGATTCTCAACTGGCAGCACGCAGGGGGTGAGGGGGGCCTTGTCAGCAGGATTTTCGCTAAGGTCCGTTGCACTTTAGCAATTCACAAACATTAAAAGAGGCACTTCAGCTTATTTACTTGAGAAACCCAGTACTAACAATCCAAACTACAAAACTAAACCCAAAATCCAAACAACATAAATTGGTAGCAGCTAATGACCTTTTCACATGAGGAAGTATATCAATCATAAATTAGTAAGTATTTCATAATGGAAAGTGGTATCAGGTGTCTAGAAGAATAAGCATACCCTGTCTGGGTACTAATTTGACAAACTCAGTTGCACAGAGTAGTATGATGCCACAGCTCTAGCAAAATTTCCCTCATTGCACTTGTCCTGTCTGTTTTCATTAACTGAATCAAATGCAGAAATATGGGACGAAAAACACCAGGTCAGTTCGGTTTTCTTCTTGCACTAACTGTGGCACAACCAAGATTAAGCCATAAGAATAAGAAACAGTCGAGGGAGCATTTTAAAAACTCAAATCAATTTGATAATAATTTATTAAAATAATATAATTATAGAGTAATAAAAATATAAGAAAATATTTAAATATGTTCAACATTTATAACATTTTATATAATTTAGTTCTTTACTGATGAAGACCTAGAGAACCACTTAAAGATGGGTTTCCTTATTTTTCAGTGTCAAATTTAGCAAACTGATTAATTGGTGTTTCTAATGAATTAAAATGTATTCTTAATCATATCATTATGTTCTTATTGCATATAATTAAGAGTTTTAATCAATCATAGTCGTTCATGTATGTACAGTCTGGATGAATAAAAAAAAGACTTTTTAACCTTTCTTGATCAGTCATTGATTAGAATTCTGTTGGTAATTCTCTCTTTGCATGATAATTATGGACATTTGAGACAAACTGGTATTTTTCCAAGTCATAAGAACACCTCTACTTTCTATTCATATAAGTATTAGCATTTTCATTTTCATAAATGAAAATAAGGGAACCCATCTTTAATGTCAATTGTTCTACTAATATTTATTAAGAACATTTTTAAAAATCATTTCAGCACCTTTTATTTAACACATTGAGAGTTTTCTGTCAAATTTAAATAACATAGAATGTGATTCTGACTGGTGTAAGATCAACACTTTATGCTACAAATATCACTATGTAAATCAAATGTATATTTTGACAACTAGAATTTAAAAGAGTTGTGTATCGAGGCCATTTACAGTTTCTATCTGCACCTTTCCAATTTACTGTCTAATGTCTGTAGTTCAAGTAATTAAAGAAAAAAGCAATAGTAAATAACTGTAAAAAATCATTCACTTCATTTGCCTTAGGTTATACAAAATAAATAGTCGGGGTGAGAGGGCCAATTTATTATTTATCATTTATAAGCGCTTTTTTAGATTTTCAACTGGAATAAATCGGAGCAAGAGAAAGCATTTATTATTTATTACCACAAAATTAATCTACATTTAATATTAAGGCAACAATTAGGCATTTTTGGGCTTGTAAAACAGATTATTTATTTTATATGGCCTTAGTTCCTTAGTTTTAGTGGAATGGTGCTAATTGAGGCTGCCAGTGTACCTGAAACGCATAAAAAATTGCTTAACAATCCCTTTTTTAATTTGGTATTTGTGATAGTGATGTGATGTATATGATCAAATTAAAGCAGAAAGTGGAAAGGTGCAAATAAAGAAATTCAGAAATCAACAAGAATATATTAAACTCACTTGTTACCTCTACTACTCTTGTAGAATTGAGATATAAATAGAATAACCTAAATAAAGTCATGTGACTCCAATATCACATGACTTTTTGGCGACAAATTCTTACTTCAAACTATCACAGGTAGTAATATTATTTCTAAGTACATTGACAAAAACTGGCCTTGCTTTATAAATAATATTACACAACCCTATCCCTACTATATCTCGAACACCCACCCCACCTCTTTCACATAAAATCCTAACATCCTGATCTGGATATGGCTAGAACCAAATAATTAAAAATAAAATACTTCATGTTGATCTGTCCAACAGATCTTATCTTCACAATGTCAGACTATTACAAACTTCATCTTATACCTTGACTTCAATAGCCATCTTTCTTGTATCATGGAATGCAGCAGTTTAATTGGATTGCATGCCAGCAATTACAGCCTATCAGAGCCCTCGACAGAATACTGTAAACATTATGGCTTATTGTTCACAGACTTTGTGTCAAGCTCTCTGATTGACTGTATTCGCTTATCACTGCATTTACTTCTGTGATACAAGAATAGCGTCTATTGAAGTCAAGGTATAGGGGAAAGTTTGTTATAGCTTGACATTGTGAAAGATATTGAAGTCAAGGTATAAGGCAAAGTTCGCAATAACTTGACATTGTGCAGATGAACGGATCCTGGACAATGGTAAAGCCCTTTACACAATAATTATGTTTTAATCACAACTTTTGCCAAAATTTTAAAAATACCCATAATACTCATCACAAATATATTTCTAGTTTCACAGCCTAGAATTCTATATTTCAGATCTGTTGCCATGGTAATACTATATCACTATAGTAACCATGTTATAAATATTACACATTAATACACTAACAACATTAGTTTATAATCACAACATAGTTTAGTTGCCATAGTAATTCTTACTGAATATTTTATATCCATGACATGTATATTATGAGTTACATCACTGTCCAAAATTATGGTTGCCATGGTTATAGTTTTGTGCATATTTTGGTATCCAAGATATATTAATACTGTTTCCAAGATACTTGATTCGGTGGTACGTTAAACGTCAACTCTGTTTGACGTGCTGCTGTATTTAATATTATGGAATACAATACTGTGATGTCTCCATGACGATATAACGCTCAAATTAACATCTAAGCTTATATTTTTACATCCACAAGTTTTTAAGTAATAGATTATGTATATCCAAGTTTAGCTAGCGCCATCTGTCGTCGTAGATTGGATATTTCGTAAAAGGCTTCTTTATCTACAAATAGAAAAACATAAACTGTTACATTGTTCTTCAGTAAAGTTTCTGTTTTAAGGTAGGTCTCCAGATTGTTACACAAAGCCTGCTGCACAAAGATTAGTTTGCTGGAGTTTGTCTTAAAGGGACAGGTGCGCCATTTCCAGGGCTGATTTGGGTCTTGAAAATATGTAAATAGTCTTCAGAAGTACTAGAAATGTACGAAAATCTGATATTTTCTTCAAAATACCTCAAACTAGGAATCAAAACATTCTATTTCTATATATCAGTCATTTTAACATTCAAATTCAGGTAATTCTGGACACACATGGATTTCGACGGTGAGCTGTGAACACTATTACTGATTGGCTTAGCTTAAAAAATCCCGGTTTCTATGACTAAGTTATGATTGGTAAAAAAATATGGCGCACCTGTCCCTTTAAAAAAAATTGAGCTTTTGGCCATAGAAATTTGAATTATCAAACTGAACCTGCAGTAATCAAAGAAAAGACTGTAGCATAACGTCCTCATCAGTCAACCCATTCAAATAGGGTAGAGATAATCAGGGAAAGATCAATGTCAAGAAGTAGATGGTAAAAAGGTTTGATTTTGATCTATTGTGAGTTAAAGAAAGTGTCATTGAGTTACAGAAAGATAAAGTAATATTTACCTTCACTCTTCACAAGACCTTGTTGTATATATCTAATATAGGTATAAAAATCACACACGGCTGCTATCTGAAATATCAACCAAAACAACCATCAGAAATTACTAAATTCCATTATAACAAAACATTTATCTGCCAAGAGGATCGGTTACTTTTTTGAAAAAGCTCAAAACTTAATTGAAGAGAGAGGTATACAACAAGTTTAAAGATGGGTTCCTTTATTTTCATTTATGAAAATGAAAATGCTAATACTTAGTAATGACTTGGATAAATACCAGTTTGTCTCACATGTCCATAATTAATTCATAATTAGCTACCCATGAACGGGACAACATAAGACTGTTATTTCCCAGAATTTGAAACATTTCCTCAGAGCTTGTATGACACGTGGTATCACCAACAGATAAAACACCACATGAAAAATCCTGATTTGCATATTAATCAGATTGGGAATTTTGATGGCTAGTGAAATCCAATAATTTTCTTACCCTATTTCTACAGAGTTGTGATATAGAATACCATTCTGTATCTTCTGTATCCAATCGTATTTTATAATTACATAGTTTGTGGGATTCAGTTAAAGAACATTTCCGTGGGTATGAGTTATCACCGGGGATAGGTTCAATTGTCAAACAATTTTTCTCCACGCATTCCAACAGACGTGTTGCTAACTGAAATATAAAAAGATAATGATAATCATACATAGAAACTTCATTGAGAAATGAAATGAAATGAATGTAGGGTGCAATGAGGGAAATTTGGCCAGGACAGTGGCATTAGCCTGCTCTTTTTCGATTTCCAACTGTCGAGGGATCTTTAATGTGCACACCCTGTAGCACACAGGGCCTCGGTTTATTGTCTCATCCGAACTAGACGCTTTTCCATGTCAGCCCCTCTTACGTGCATCACTGACAGGGGGAAACCAGGTTGAAAAATCCGAAGGTATTATCTCGAACTATGCCGAGAAAGCATTTATCTCACTGAGCCACCGTGGCTCCCGAAACTTCATTGAGAAGCAATATGCAATTAATCATTAAAAACGATAAAATTCTTTCTAAAATATGCTATTTACTACTATGGATCTACTTGATCAATCTGAATTTATTTTACAAGAGTTAATACTGTAATACAAAACAGAGCTGACTAAATTTTAAGTAGGCAGCTTAGAATAGTTTGATAAATTTACTTGAAACTATAGACTCTGTAACTATCAGCCCAAAAAGAACATTGGCACCAACAAGTCAAAATATCTATCAAAACTATCAAGACAAAGGGATGCATCAAAAGGCCAAATGTGTGGTTACACATACTTCGGCTGATATATATATAGTGATAGATGATAGGTGATATGTAATCGAAAATTCAGATGTCCGGGTACTGGTAAAAATTTGTCAGAGTCAGGAGTATGTCTGCCGAGTTTGACTTACCCGGTTATTTTGAAAATTGAGACAGGGTTTGACATCCTCGTTAAATACCCGACTAAAAAACTGACTGTTAATAGGGTCCTGGACAGGGCTCTTCCTCCATTGTTGAAACTCTTCAAAACAGGCCGTATCCAGCTGAAATAACCATAGGATATTGTTCAAGCAGAAACGCTAAAAGACCATTGTTTCAACAATTAGGGGTTCCAATAGCAGAATGTGAATATTAAATTTGAATGAAATGTAACACAAACTAGCATTCTACCTCAATTTCAAGTGAGTTTCAAGTAATTCAAATATTAGAATGCGTAAAAAAGATGAAACAAAATTATAATTAATTTAAAAGGTTTTTCGAATAAATTATAAAGATGAGCAAACTATTAAAACAGAACCTGAAACATGTTGTTACTCGAGTTTTGAGGTTGAACAGCAGGTTGTGTGTTAATAATTCCGTTCTCATAATAATTGATGAATCTATTTTTTAACAGTCAACATATTTTATTAGTTATAGCAACTGACCTCTTTACATTTTAACTTGACTGATTCTTGCTGTGCCTCCTCTTTCTGTCGAGCTTCCTTGGTGAATTCGTGGTGACTTGTGGATCTACGGTGGGTTTTCCAGAACGGTTTAATACTTGTCTTCTCTTTCTTAGGGGTATGAGTATCTATCTGGGGATGAAGATGTTTATTAGGTGAGTTTGGAGTCGATGTTAATACCAATTGTTTTAATGCCACTACTTCAGCCTGTAATACCTCAATCTGAAAATTCAATGATCAAATGAATGAATGAATGAATGAATGAAAGGGTGAATGACTGAATGACTGAATGACTAAATGAATGAATGGACCAATGAATCAATCAATGAATCAATCAGATGGAAGCATTTAAAAATGACATGTACCCGGCCATCAACACCTTTCAAGAATCACTGGAATCCTTGATTTTATAAAGAGGCTTGAATAAGATCTATTAATCAAATACCGAGCATGATTAGCAGGTACCAATATTGAAGGTGAGTATCTTTATTAACAAAGTCTTTGCATGGCATTTAGTAACTGTGAGTACAATATATAGAGATAGCTTTATATAACAACAATCACTGGTTAAATTGACTGAGGGCGACGGGGAAAACATGTCGAAACTTTGCATAAAACTTTAACCAGTGATTGTTGTTCTATAAAGCTGTGTCTATATCTTATAAACAGTCTGTTTGTGGTAGCCTAGTACTTGAAAATGTTATCTTACTTTTTGATTAGCCTCTGTTAACAGTTTTTCAGATTGAATTCTCTTTAGGTTGGCATCTTGAACCTGTTTATTGGCTTCCTGGAATCAGAATGAAAACAGAATTGAACTTTGGCATCTGATGGGAATTTTCAATAACTCATGAAATCAAGAACATTTCTAATGTCTCAATAGCCCCTTTTACACCAGACAACTATAAAACATTTCATTCAGACTAGCAACACTTATCTTCTTGAAGATGTTGAATTTAGTCCCTCTGGTTACCTGGATATAAACAACAATACCACTGAACTTTCTAAAAAGTAACAACCCTTTGTTACACAGAGTGTAGGTCACAAGTGTAATCTACCAGCTCGTCCTCGTCAAACCTCAGGGCATTGATTTTCTGATTATCAATACCCATATACAGCTGGGTAGACTAGAAATGAGGAAAGATGACTTCTTGAAAGTCAACTATCACATGCTGTCTAACAATTGAAGCACTATGTGATCTAAATTTCATCTGTTTAAAGTAGATGAAAGAGTTCAAATACCTCAAATAAACTAGCTGTTAAATCTTCTAATTCTTCTTCCATCTGATATCTCACTTTAGATAATTTCTCACACTCTTCATCTTTAAGTTTTAATTCCTATAACACAATTATAAAACAATATAAAATAACATAACAATCCTAAATATTCATAAATTCAAAACATTTATAAAATCAAAATATTCAGAACTGAAATTCTCCTAATTTCAAATATGCACAACAAAGAAAATATTCAGAAACAGGATATATGGGACCTCATGAGAAATAACTATTATAAGTCTAACAATGTAATATGTAATAATATAGATGTTTAGTAACAATCAAGGAACATGGATTAACAAAATCATTAGAATCAAAGAATAATCATAATAAACTAATATTTTCTTAGTGTGAGTAGAGTTCACTTAGCCAATAATATCATTTTTGATAATTCATTGATTATATCTTACCTTTTGAGCATTAGTTAATTCGTGTTGTAATCTGGAGAAGGCATGAGTTTTGGCCTCGGCCATCGTAAAACTTCGTCGTCTGGTGAGAGCATTAGGGACACCATCGGAGTAAGAATGACGAAAGGGTTGACGTTTGGGGCCTGCCCGTAAGTCAACCAGATCTGTACTCTCATCACTGAAAACAGAAGTTCAAAGTTACTCAGGAAGTCAGTTTTATTGCAATTCAAAATGTTCCAGCTGAAGACTAGATTGATCTTGCAAGTTCCTGAAGGTTGTAGAGACTGGCGTAAGTTGCCCTATGCTTCTAGATTTGGCAGAAAATTCTCATGAAAAATATACAATATGATTTGAATTTCAAATCACTGTGACTAATTTCAATAGTGTATCACAAAACGGGTCATTTTGACTCGCAAACTGTGATGTGATAATGTTTAAATCAAACCATGTCTCTCTTACTAGAAAGCTAACACAAAAATTAGACGACTAAATGAACACATATTGTTTCCCTGTCATCATTTATTATGTCTTATCTTTTTCCTTGATGATTTTTTAGTCTCTTAATATCAGTGGCTCATTTATATCTTCTACAACAAGTCTCTAGCTGGAGGAAGAATAAATCAAATTATACAAGCTACTGCTTTTGATTTCTCAAGTTTTTCTTTCTATTCATACACCACTGTGTACAAATATCTTTACACTTCTATGTTTGAATAATAATTACAGAAACCATTTTATGAGAATTAACATAAAAATCAATTTAATTTACGAATGTATATCTTGTTATAGGGAAATAAAATCACTTGTCTTGTCACTTGATAAGTAGCGATTATTTTGATTAATTATAACAAATTCACTTTCATACAACGAGATTTATACATCTTTTATAAAGATAAGTTGATTATGAGGATGTATTGTTTTAGATGTTGTATCTTGTGCCACAAAGTGTATATCGGTTGCAGCGCCCCTGAGACTAGGGGTACAAATAGAGGGCAGACTGACTCAATGGAGGGACAACTACTGAGGCTAAATTCAATTTTTGGCTACTCTGTGGTGGTGTCATAGTTGCAAGTCTCTCATTGAGCGTCTTAGAGGGTTCTCTCAAGACAATTTTAGAAAAAATGAACTGATTTTGTACATTCTGGCACATATTTTGGAGAAAAAAGGTAGACATTTAGATTTGTTGAAAATAAAGTGGGGGTACAATCCAATTTCTAGGAGGGCAAATGCCCATATATTTCTCTATTAGGTTATGTTTTTAACTTTAAAACGTGAATAATTATGGATAAACATGGATTTGAAGGCTCAAATTTCGATGATGAGCTGTGAACACTATCACTGATTATGTAAGCTAAAAAAATTCCTGTTTCTGAAACTAAAGTATGATTGGTCGAATGGATAGTGAAGATGTTCCTTTAAACTCCCCCTTCAAAATGTGTCAATAAAATAATTTTTTCATTAGTGACAACCCAAATGACAGCAATCTGAATTATAAAAACATACAGGAGATTTTCACATTCAGATAGAAAATCTATTAAAATATTCATCAGCTTGTATTAGGTATAGAATTATATTTTTATATAGATATACTCTGTTTACATTCATACTGATATACACCAGTAAATATACATACTGTTTATTTATCTTTAACCAATAATACTGTCCTTGGTTTACTGTTTCTACCTAAATATTGTCTTAAAACTTAGACTTAGAAATAATTCTGATTGGGTATTTCTATATAAAATTCTTATAACATCAATAGATCATTTTACCTTCAAAATTTCAATGATTTATTACTAGCAGAGCTGTTCATTTTTAGACAATAAACACAAGAATAGGAATTATTCATAATCCATTGTGTAGATAGGCTACTGTCATGTAATATGTTTTTGATTTCCATGCATTTTTATGATTTATAAGGCCTATGTCATTGTGTTGTAGATGCTTGTCTGGTATACCTGGCATCATAAAGTATCTATACCCAACCACACCATACAATAGAGACAGTAACGTGACCCAGGCAGGGAGCACTGGCCAGGGATGACATTATATTATAAACAGGATAATATGTGTTGTTTGCAGGTAAAATAACGATTCATCGCTAAAAAGTTGCAATGTCTCAGATCACTGGATATTCCTGAGAGAGGGCACCACCCTTCCTCGTAACATCTTAACTTCAGTGCTCAAGGGTTTTTCACAGATTTCATGATTTACAAATCCAGTAAAAATATCAGACACTGCATAATAAGATCACTATACCAGTGATATATTTTGGCAGGTTTAGTCGCATAATAAATTATCTTGATTTTTATGGTTCAAAGAATATAAAGCCAGCAAAAACAAACAGACACTGCATAATAAGCTTAGTCTGTCAATGACATATTTTGGCAGGATTAGTTGTATAATAAACCTATATTAAGGTTATGCATGATATAACCTTTTTGTGTCAATGTCCTATATAGCTTGCTATAGGCATAATAAAACATTTTAGAGATATTAAAAGACATGTAGGTGATTTATTTTGAAACATCTATTTGAAATTTTAAAATGAAAATCTGATTATTTTTTAATTAAGTAATAAAAAGCCAATGAAAACAATTAGTTGACTACTCTATCTATTGACAAAAACAAGAAAGAAATTACAAAATTGATAACATGACCAATGTAGAGTCGTTTTAAAGAGTCATGAGGTTGAGAGGGGAGCTACCGGCATCAAGTATCAAAGAACTCAATGATAAGAAATTCGAAACTGGGCAGTCAAAAGTGGGCTAGCATAATTGAGTCAACATAGCTAATAATGTTTATTTGATATTAAAGATGGTTTTCCTTATTTTTTTTATTGTCAAATTAAGCAAACTATTTGATTAATTGGTGTTTCTAATGAATTATAACATATTCTTAATCATATCATTATGTTCTTATTGCATATAATTAAGAGTTTTAACCAATCATAAATGTCCATGTATGTACAGTCTGGATAAACGAAAAAAGACTTCTTGACCTTTCTTGATCGGTCATCATTGCTTTTCTGCTTGTAATTCTCTTCTAATTTAGCTAATTATGAATTAATTATGGACATGTGAGACAAACTGGTATTTTTCTAAGTCATTATCCTAGAACACCTCTACTTTCTATTCATATAATTATTAGCATTTTCATTTTCATCTTTAAGGTTTCATCAACTGACATCGGTTTCAGAGAGTCCACAAAGCTCTTAATATTTTATTTTTGATTATCAAAGAGTTATTAAACAAGATGAAGCCTGAGATTTTTCCCATGCTTACTGACTGACTGTTGAAATCTTATTTAACATCCTTATATTGTGTTTACCTTCTCAACCATAAAATATTAAAACATAATATTTACTCATTTATGGGCCTCACTTCAATGGACTTCAGTTTATTTATCTATTTATTTATAGAGCCCAGTCCATACACTATCTCAGTGCAGTAGGCTTCACAATTATACATTTAGGCTTAGGCTAATATCAGATAAAACGCATAGTATCTTCTATGTACCAGGTAGCCTACTATCATATCATCAACTTTAAAGGGTTGATTTTGGTCTTGAATAATGTAATAGTATTCAGAAGTACTAGAAAGGTACCAAAATGGCACATTTTCTACAAAAGTAAGAATTTTTTTTTATGTATTATTATACATAGCTGTTGTTTATATGGTGTAGTCTCAAGAAAAGATAACTCGACTTTTTAACTTTCGAACGCAGATAATTGTATAAAAGTCCTACTTTTCTGCACCATGTGGGCTAACAAAGACGGGCAATGAGGAAAATTTCACCAGGACAGCGGCATTAGTCTGCTCTTTTGCGATTTTCAACTGTCGAGGGATCTTTAATGTGCACAGCCTGTAGCACACGGGGCCTCGGTTTATTGTCCCATCCGAACGACTAGACACTTTTTCCATATCAGTCCCTCTGACCTGCATCACTGTCAGGGGGAAACCGGGTTGAAAAATCCAAAGGTATTATCTCGACCTATGCCGAGATGATTGTGGACACACCACACATGGATTTCCAGGCTCAAATTTCAATGGGTACACTATTACCACCAGGTACTAGTAATTAGCAGAACTAAATAAATCCCTCTTCTGACATTAAGGTTCGAATGATCAAATGGGTTACTTTAAAGGTAGCATTGCCTAAAATGAATTCTTTTGGGGGAGTACTTTAATTGACTGTATAATGCTAATTAATCTAAAATCACGTGGGATAACATTCAACAGCTCTAACCCACAATCTAGTGACCTAGTCCACATTCATTTAATATTGCAAAGCTTGTGCTCTGTTTTACAAGGTCAAACAATTTCAACAATTTTGTTTCTGTTTTTGATGTCAGACAGGAAATTCGTTGTTCATTTATAATCTTCATTTCATCATAAATTCAAAAAAAAAATGTCTTGTTTCACCTTGAGCTATATCTGACTCTTTTTTAGACTGTGATATATATATTTAAAAATATCCCTATGATTTAAACACATAATACAGTCATTTAAATTGGGTCACGCTCAAATATTTAAAAATATACCATATGAATTGCTGCCTACTGCATAAATTTTACTCTTGATATATTTTGAAAAAATGTAAACTTACCATGCAGATGTATTTCTATAGTTTCCATCTAAAAGATCTGGTAGACTAGAGCTTCCAGTTCCTACGTCATTGCCACCATTACAGGTTACCACTTCTGGTTGTCCACAGCTACTCTCGTCCACACTGACACGGAAAGCCGGGTGGGCTATTGTTCGAATGGGTGGAGTTATCGTTGGAGTGGGTGGACCTATCATTGCAGTAGGTGGAGCCTTCAATATTTGAGATTGGACGCTGTTCGTATTTGAGGACAGTACTGGTTGATGTTGAGCAGAAGGTGGCAAGTTGTAGACTTTCGGTGTCGAAGAATTCATTTGAGTTCCATTGGGTGCATGGGAAGGTCCTGGTAAATTGTGACTTGGTATCATATCTGGTCGCGACTGTTTAATATGAAACGAAGTAGTGGGACCCGTTGCTGCACTGGTGCTTATTATTGAGACATTAGGTAGATTCTGAATGGCTGGATGTCCTTTCTTTGGTGACCCGTGTAGACTTGATCCAGAGTTGGTCCGGGTAGGGGTTCCGGGTTGACTTGATTTAGGAGTTCCAGGTTGGCTGGATCCTGAATTTGAACGAGATAGAGAAGCTTGACTATTGGCTGATCCAGTTGACGACACAGAACCCCCTGACCCTGGACGTTCCAGTTGAGGTTGGCAGGGGCCAGCTAATATTTGACGAGCAGAGAGCGGAGATTCACTGATTCTCATTGGATTGGACCTCTGTCCACTGACAGACACGTGCCCATTTGGTACAGCTGCTGAGGAACTTTGAGGATTGACTGGAATAGGTGTTGACAGGACTTTCTGCAGCTGACGTCCATTTGTGTAACCTTGATCTTTGCTAGTTGTCCCCTGTAGTTGTTTGACCCACACAGGGTCCTGTTTTCCCGATGACATTGATGTGTTTTTATCTTATTTTCTCACTCATTCAATCTGAAAGGAAAATAAGAAATCCTTCATTAGATGATTTTAGTTTACTGTATTGAATTAAAGAAATAACCATGTAAAGATTCCTCTATATCTAAAATTAAAGGAAGGAGAAGTATATCCATGAAGAAGTCTACTTCTAAATGTCATTCAAAGTTTAACTTTTGGTTTTCAAACATAATTCAATTGGATTAAGTATCAGGAAGTCTAAAAATAGATACTACATATAAGCTTAATTTATGGACCACCATGTTATTAGTAGGCTCTATTTGGTTATCAATTTATGTACAAATGTATAGCTTAAAATGATTTAGGGCAATATCGATAAAATTGAAATATGAAGGGTATTTTCCAGGCTATACTCATAATGACCTATTTCTATTTATAGATATCCTGGTTTATCAATTAGCATATATCAATATATATTACATAATACAGAAACTAGGTCGAGTAGATATATAGCTACCTACATTATAGAAATAGTTTAAATATAGACATGACAAGACATATTTAACATAGTTTTGTAGTTGAGCAAAGGTTCAAAACAGGGTCTCAGCATCCCTTTGTGAGTTTTAGAGGGCACTAGTCATGGTGGGGGTCCTCAAACTCCTCATTTTCTGAATTTTCAATTTTTATTAGAAGAAACTTGATTGGCTGGAGGATGAATGTTCAAGAGCTGAAGTGGCTAAACTAAGAATAAAATACGGAACAAAAGAATGGTTATAATATTACTTCTAATGACAACTACCAGCATGTAAAGATCTGGCTATTATAATACCTCAGATGGTTTTGGACAACATGACTTTGTTCATTTATTCTTATGCAACATAGACTGTTGGTGGTTTAGTTTTCACTATTCAATAAAGGTTGTATACTTCTTGTTGTCATAATAGAAACATTCAGGTGGGTGGAGGTTAATAAACACATTTAAAGTTCTAAACTGTAATAATCCATATTCAAAATAGATACATAAAATAACACCAAATTGACAGTAAACTATACACCTCGATTATATTCATAAATATTCTATAGAAGCCTTTGTCCAAAAGAATGTGGTGTGGTTCTTCTGCTTACTGACGGAGTTTGGTTACCGGTTAGAATAAGCTTATTGGTTAGTGTTCGGGTGTATTGAGACTCGTCTCAATGAAAGCACTGACCTAGGTCACAGAGCAATAGATAAGTCTATTAATTATGTTAATTATTAGTTAGTCATTAGTATGATTTTAGTTGAAAAGACACAGTTAGGGTGTATTGAGACAAGTCTCAATGAAAGCACTGGCCAAGTGTTATAACCATGTTGGTTTGTGTAATAACCATGTTACTGAGTTAAAACCATAATTTACATTGTAACCTATAATGTTATCAGTATAGACCTATTTCTACCTTGTACCTACCTATTCTAGTTTCATCTTCCAACCTATTTTCACAAAAAATGCAGCTATTGGAGTCAAGGTATAAGAACAATGCTAAAAATAGCTTGACATTGTGAAGATGACAAGATAGAAGAAAGAACTACTAATTTTAAAATGCTATCTAGTTAAATTAAGTCAGTGCAACATGCATAAACAACCAGGGCTTAAGCGGCATTTAGGGCTAGAGATTACATTAAATAACCAACCACAATTCAATACTTCTCCTGGTAGAAAGCAAATAGTTTTACCCAAGAGTAGGATAATCTATAAGATAGTAGTTATTTGATGTATATGAACAGTACAGTATACTTGTATTTAATATAGGAGAAAAATTACATGAGATATCTCTTTAATCTTGATAATAACTAGTTTAAAAGGCAAAGTAACATATCAACATAGCTCTGAATGGTACAAAAATGCATGACATGTATTATCTCTATTGACAATCTACGTACCAACTATATAACTATACCATGTCTATATTTAATCTTTAAATAATCTTATTTCAACACTAATTTTATTCAAGTTTCATATGTATCTCAGTCTAATCAAAATTATACCACATCAGTTAGGGTCTAACGACAGCCCTCTTGAACGATGAATCTTCTCCAGGGTTACCTTTTTGCGATGCGACTTAAACTAAATGTTATATCGTGAAAGGTGCTTATAATATCCAAAGGCCTTTGAAATAATTCACTCATAATTCCGCTTGACGCAGGCTGTAAATGAGTACAGATAATCAGAGAAAGATCAATGCCAAGAGGTTTGGTCAAGGACAAGCTGGTAGACAGGATGTTCTGTAAACCTTATGATCCTTGTAAAATATAGTAGTTTCTTTCATTTCCACGGACGTCTGACATAAAACTGGAATCATGAAAATCAATGCTGCTATCACTGTCTCCAATATATAAATAGCTTAGATAATATCCTCAAAATCAATTTAACAAGTGGTAGATAATATCTACAGTGACAGTCAGTGATAGGAATAATAATTAATGTAGGTCAGAAAAGTCGTTAAGGTTGAATTAACATCATTAATTAGGTCAGCAGGTAAAGGTGTCATGACTATTAGTTACTTAATTGAAGATTTATTAGACCAAATTTTAATCTTTGGCTCAAATCAGTTTCTACCTATTTATATGACTAGTTGATTGCTATTGAAGTCAAAATCTTGGTAGAGTACCGGTATCTATTATAATGAAGCTCAAATTCAACAAATAGTTTGTCATTGAAATGAAGAGGTTAAAATTAACAGGCTGGAGAATAAATGGTCTAAAATTTGAATTTGAATTGAAAAAAAAACAGCAATTCCTACAGTACTAGGCCTACTGAGAACAAATTATAGGCTAGGCTAGTAAATCAAATAAATCATTATATAACTGGTTCAGATCTAATCTAAAGATCCAAAAGAATTTTCCTCCACCGGAGTCATTCTTTAGAATGAATATCTTTCTACACTCAGAAAGTTCAAAGTCAAAAAGGGAAGGAAAAGCCTCTTCAACTCTTGTCTCAACTAATTTGAAAATGAAAGTCACCACAAATTGAAATGTTAACTAAAATAAAGGAGTTGACAGAGAGATTCAGTCATGACAAAACTGTGAGAAGAAGCGAAAAACGTGACGACCTCATTGAAATGTGAAAAATGTACCGAGAATTCATATCAACCATTGTAATGTTTACATAAAAACATCAAGAAAAAGTTTGAAGTGATCTGTCAAAATGACATTTTATCGCTCGACTTACCTTACTGATTTCCAATCCTTCAAAAAAAACTGGAAACAAAAGGGAGAAACCCCAGTAAAACAAATAATTTGTAGAATTATTCCAAATAAATCGCTCAAATTTGTGGAATAATTTCACACTTTTTCGCAAAATCAGCTGAACTTGTCAAGGATCGGCCATGTTTGTTTTACCGTAACGCATGCGCAAAGTAATTAGGTTATAGATTGGATTATCCAGATTTTAAAGCTAACACGACATTACAAAACTTTCATCGGAAATGAAAAGCATACAAAACAAAAGAGATAAAATCGAGCAAACATTAGAACAGACCTGATTCGTACCATTCTAAAAGATTGTGAATCAAACCTATGCTTAAAGAAATACTACCTCTATATATAATGGACATAATTTTTATAATAGTCTCAAAGTTGGCAAATTTGTGGCCTAGCCTAATCACAACTAGCATTTAAAGGGATGCAAAAAGGTTTTTTTTATCTCTTTTGATAGAGGAAATATTTAATAAAATATGAAAAGACATTCATTATTATTATTGGAGTCATTCACTGAGGCATAGATGTCTTTAACATGTATTTTATTGTCATGTTAGCTTTAAGAAAATAATCACAGGGCTGGATGATCTAGACAAAGTTCACCTGTCAAAATGTCAAATATCTGTCTCTTTAATCTGAGAAACTCACAAATTACTGTTAGACTTAACAGGCTGTACACGGATAAATCTTGTCTTAAATAATTTGACTTCTTTCATTAATGACATGCTTACTCTTCTAGACACTTGATACACTTTTTACTAGCCTATACTTGCTCATATTCAGAAAAGTTGGTTAGGTGCTAGTGCTACCTATATAGGCACTATCGCCAATAGGCCTATATGTTGTTTTGTATATCTGTCATCAAATGACTAGATAAATTATTTCATATCTGAAGGTTACTCTGGTCCAATAGTGCTATGAAATTTATTTGAAATGAGCACAATTTGATTTGAAAAACAACCCCTCAAATTTCCCGTCTTTCAACGTACGTCAACGATAAGTTATAATTATGTGATCTAATCACTCTAAAATGTGATAAGGGTATGTGATCTAATGAGACTAAAAGGTGGTAATGGTATGTGATCTAATGAGACTAAAAGGTGGTAATGGTATGTGATCTAATGAGACTAAAATGTGATAAGGGTATGTGATCTAATGAGACTAAAAGGTGGTAATGGTATGTGATCTAATGAGACTAAAAGGTGGTAATGGTATGTGATCTAATGAGACTATAAAATGTGGTAAGGGTATGTGATCCAGTGACTCTAAAAGGTGATAAGGGTATGTGATCCAGTGAGTCTAAAAGGTGATAAGGGTATGTGATCCAGTGAGTCTAAAAGGTGGTAACGGTATGTTATCCAGTGAGTCTAAAAGGTGATAAGGGTATGTCATCCAATGAGTCTAAAAGGTGGTAACGGTATGTTATCCAGTGAGTCTAAAAGGTGGTAAGGGTATGTCATCCAATGAGTCTAAAAGGTGGTAACGGTATGTTATCCAGTGAGTCTAAAAGGTGGTAACGGTATGTTATCCAGTGAGTCTAAAAGGTGATAAGGGTATGTCATCCAATGAGTCTAAAAGGTGGTAACGGTATGTTATCCAGTGAGTCTAAAAGGTGGTAACGGTATGTCATCCAATGAGTAAATTATATTTGCACACTCGTTAGGCCTAATTGATGTTAGCAGCTCAACTGTCCATAAATTTTAGTTTATTTTAGAACTATGTAATTGATACCTCAGATTGTTATAAATATAACAATGGTATAGGAGTGGTGGCCCAACAGTATAAAATTATATCAATATCTAGAAATTCGAAATGTGCTGAAGTGTGTGGAACCAACTATACAGAATGCACTGATTCATTCCGACGTGATAACTATTGTCTCCTTTATCCAGCACCACTCATCTTCCTCTCTTCTCCTATAGATCTCGACAAATGTATGAAAAAATGTAACGAGACGAGTGAATATGAAACGATGAGTTTTGTTCATACTATATTACAAATTACCTGGTACGGAAAACAAAACACAATACAATATTAAGTATACTGTAGCAGAAAAAATACCCTGTTAAATAAAACCTAATTATAATGATACAACTCTTTTATTACTTCACGTTTAGGATAATAACCGAGGACGAGTTTTTACCGAGTTAGTAAGGCCCAAGAGAGAGAAATGCGGGCCGTGGAATACCCGAAGGCGACGCCCCTCTCTTTCGAGGTTTTTTTTTAACTCGGTAAAAACAGGCACGAGGTCATTATCTAACATTATCTGTATCCCCCAATAGTCACATTCCCGTTAGGCAACCGTATACAAATATTTAATGTCAATTCATGGATCTTTAAGGCTACTTTTAATCCATTTATTCTAGAATCGTCGTAGAAGGACGGGTGATAGATAATACTTCTCTACACCAATATTTACTAATGTAGACGGACATTGTATGTTTGATGGACATGGTCGAATAGCTAAACTACTATGAACTAATTGAAAAATATAAAATATCTGTTTCGGCTATCATCGCAGATGTTTTTGTTTAACGATGAAGTTTAAACTTGTCATCACAATAATATGTTGCCACCAGATTATTCTGTAATTTTACACAAGGTTTGTTTGCCTCCCTATCTTATTTGTAGTATTTAGCAGCAATGACTGGTGTTGTTCCAGACAGGGTATGCTTACTCGTGTGGTCACTTGATGCCACTTCTCATCATTAAATGCTTCCGTGTTTGCAACTTTTTTTCTTCTCATAATAAAACAAATGTTGTAATCAGTTCCCTCCCTTTAAATTGGAGAAATGTATTGTCATCAGTTACGTCCCTTAAACTATTGAAATTGGAAATTGATGCATTACAGTTACGTCCCTTGAACATTTAAAATTTGTCAAGTAGCTATAATTTCTTCAGTTGACATGTTCCTATTTGTAGTGTGTATGTTGAGTAGCTATGACGGGCCTGTCGCTGGACAGGGTATGCTATGCTTACTCTTCTAAACACCTTTCATTATGAAATACTTACTCACTTATTATTGATATACTTCCTCATGTGAAAAGTTCATTAGCTGCTACCAATGTTTCGTTAAAATGTTGTTTTGGATTTTGGGTTTAGTTTTGCGGTTCGGATCGTTAGTATTTGGTTAATTTATGAAAATTCATTTCTAACTTGTTTTGATTATAAACATTATACCTATTTCTGACTGTTTTGAAGCCACAGAGTTTTAAGGGCGACGATTTGGTTTTTATTTCATAATCTGAATCAGAATGAGCCTCGGGATTTGGCCATAGTTGCCAGGTTTTATCAAGATATCTGTGAGTACACTTCAGTTCCAGATTTTGTTTTGGCTATAAGTAATATAACTTAATATGTAAATAGAAATGGAAATAGCTTGGTATATGGATGCATCTTTTTTAATTTGTTGATCCAAAAATGTTCTCTTGTTAGGCAAATACTTTTTGCTTTGTTGATTTTAAATCGGTTCGATTGGTATGATTGTGAGATGGCATATATCATGGTGCTTCGTAACCATTATACCACCAGATCACAGTTACATAATAAATTTTATATGTTATCTCCCCTTACAAGATGGCGGCATTTCCAACCAAAAAATCGCCGACAGATTAACGAAGAATTGGAATGTCCCAAATAGAAGTCAAAGGTGTCTCCAATACACATATGAATTTCAATACGAGTTAACTCTTGTATATTGGAAGGAATCGGTTGAAATTTAAAATAAGAGCTTTTTAAATAACTGATTGTATTGTCATCCAAACAAATGAACATCATTTCAATCTGAGGATTGTTCAAATTTTCTGAAGTAGAATAAAAAAAAGTTGGGTTGTCCATTAACGTGTCGCGTGTAGTGCGATTATTTGTATACTTGATCACAATAAATGGCTAAGAGAGCAACGGATCTTCTCACAGGATGGAACGAAATGATTGAGAGATCTCTAAAAGGGCATGTGTATTCAAGTTTTACTCCTTCACCAGTCTTTACATTCAACTCATCATGAGAATCATAGAAAAATTTGTCACTACAATTTTTAACTTCATCATCAGTTTTGACGACATGGTTGTTAGTCTTTACACAAAGTCTACTACTATACTTAAACAAGAACCCAGACCCACATTCCGTTACCCATCTTCGATTCTTTATTTTTTTTACCACTAATCTGACAACATAGCCACCCCATTTTTTAATACTCTCTAACGTTTCTAAATTTCTTATTTCTTCTGGTAAATCTTCCAATGTTAAATCTTTAAATGGGATAAACCCTGAATGGCCAGGATTCTTGTGGCATTTAAACATATTTAAATCTTGTCCTTCCTGTAATATATCACCTTCTCTCGCCACCTCAATATCAACATCAGATTGAAAGTCTTCTTACACCGAGCCATTCTTAGTTCTTACAATCAAAAGAAATCTGAAAATATTAAAGAAGATGATAGAAATCAAATGTTATGGTTATTTTCGTTTTATTTATTTCCTCTACCATAGACGCCATGTTATTTATAATAACCTTACAACAGAATTAAAACAGGTCACAAAATAGCATTCACTTATCTATCTATGAGACTATTTTCATTGCAAGTCCATGTACAGGTGCTAATACAGTACCCCTGGTGTTCACTGGGGAGTGTTCGGAATGAGTCTTTCGGACTATTTTGTTTACTCGCCTCTTTCACAAAAATTTACATATATTATTTCCTCTGATGATGGCGACAGAAGGTAACAATGGGCTCGAGGACGGTCGACAGTAATGGTCTGAATGTGTAATTGTATCCATCAACATTGTCTGTATTTTACAACATCGTAATAAAATAGTTATAGAAAAACATCCACCACTTTCGTTTGTTCTACTATCAAGAATATATGGCAGCCATGGCGTGGTTATTTTAGACAATTTTGTTCGCTTTGGTATGGTGTGATGTGATAGATGTTTCGAGAAAATTCGACCACGCCGACATCATCGTCGCAATGTCAGGGTCCAGCTACATCGTCGATCGATCGCAAATAGATGTTACACAACAGCAGCAATTAACTGCTCAACAACAAGAAGTGCAAGATGTTGATGCTCAGTATACCTCAGCAAATCTTTGCCGTCAGAAACGTGTTGGGAAGAATCAACTTACAAAAGCCAAGCTTTTCCTAACAGTCAACTATGCTCGCCAGATGTTGATGCGGGCCAGGTTCGTAAATCGGTTGATAACGTCCTCCGATGTCAGAAAGACGTTTTGAATATTCTGCTGGGATTGTGTGACATCGATGCTAATGGTTTCAAGCAAGAGTTAGAATCCTCCCAATCAGATTCTAATCTACAGGAATATTTGTCTAATGCTTCTGAACTTATCAATAAATCTAGAGTCGAGAACCAAACTGACGCTTCGGATAGGTCCAACACTCCAGATATAGCACAAAATGCAATTTCGAATAGTCTTGTTGATAGGGACTTGTTTCACCAACTCACTCGAGTATCTATTGCTAAGTTTATTGGTAACAAAAGGGATTACACCCTCGTTTGTGAGTTGTTCAATCATTGTATCGACAAATCGAGTATGACTAAATCTTGCATGTTATTGCATCTCGGACAGCATCTTGAAGGAGACGCGCTCAAAGCCATTGAAGGTTTTCCCCCATCAGATATAGGGTATGATGCAGCGCTCAATAGACCTGATGAAAAGTATGGAGGCCCTCGCAGGGACCTCTTGATTTTGTTGCATGATATTCATAACTTTATACCTATTAGTTTCTCAGATTCTGAGGAATTTGTCGACACACTCGAACTGAGCATAATTTCTCTACGTGACAGTGAGCATACTGATGGATTTCAGTCTAATTCTATGTCTTTCTGTGTTGTCAGAGGTAAATTGCAGTCAGAACATATCGCAAATTTTAAACGATGGGTAGCTCTTGGAAAGAAAGACGAAAACCTTAATTCCTTGCAAGAGTGGTTAGCGAGTATAATAAAATACCGAACCGAGGTTCGTGAAGAAGCTAGCGGTTTTTCGTCCACTTTGTCCAGTCGCTCACCTAATGGGTATAAAACTAATAATAATAGTACTCATAGATTTAGAAACAATGATGACAATAGGTAGTAATCCTGACTTAAGATGTGTTGTTTGTATAATGAGTCGCATGTTCGCGGTGTTCAAAACTGCCAGTTGTTAAATCTTTAGAGACTTCACATGTGAGACAGAATCCCCCATTTCCCCAACCTAATTATTATAGTCTCGCATCAGATTCGCATTCAGCACGAACTCATACTCAGTTTAAGAATGACAGTTTGGCTATGGACATTGTACCTGTGTTTATAGTAAAAAACAATCGGCGGCTAAAGGTCAATGCATTACTAGATGAGTGCTCAACAGAGAGTTATGTTAGAGAATTTGTCTTAACACGAATTAGGTTTGCATGGTGACACAATTAATTTAAACGCAGACGTTTTAGGTGGCTCTAAAACATCCTTGAAATCAGATGAGGTCACTTTTGGAGTAAGTAGTGTAGACTGTTTGACTAATTTTAACTTGGACGCTTTTACGGTTAAGAACGTTACTGGTGAATTAACTGCTGTCGACTGGTTACGTCATTCGTACAATTGGCCACATTTCGCCATAATTCGTATGGACAAATCTACAACTAAAGTCAGAGTTGCCATGGACGCTGCTGTGCGTTGTATAGTCATATCCTTAAACGATGTGATTCATCCCAGGTCCAAAGTAGCAAAGTGAACTTTTTGAGGTTCTGATACGCTTTCGACATAGATCCATCGCATTAGCTGCAGACATAACAGAAATGTTCTTGCAGATCAAAATGCAACCGAATGATAAAAACTTTTTTTATGGAAAGATTTGAATGATACTTCGCAGATTAAGATTTATCAATATAATCAATTGGTTTCCGGTAATACCTCATCTCCATATTTATCTCAAGCTGTTTTACGTGAACATGCGAATGTGAACATTAAAAATTACCCCTTAGGAGCAAATTCCTTTTTTTTTATTCAATGTATGTTGACGATCTCTTAGATAGTGTTGACTCCACAACACAAGCTGTCCAGTTACGATGCGAATTGACTGCTCTACTTTAAAGCGCAAGTTTAAGCATTCGTAAATGGTTGTCAAACAATACTGATGTGTTAAATGACATTTCAATTAAGGACCGCGTCGGTCAGCTTTCCATTAAAGAAAATAGTTTGCCCTCAGTAAAGACTTTAAGAATGCTGAACGAGACATATTAGCCTTTCATGTGTCCGAACCTTCGTATTAGATTCTAACCAAGAGAGACATCGTTTCCATGACTGCTTCGATATTTGATCCATTCATCACCGTTCATGATTCGAGCTAAAATTGGCATCCAGGAAAAGCATCCACCACTCTCTTCTAAATTTTACAAACCCATGACGATGAAATACCAGAATGTAAAACATGAGATGAAAAGTAGAATGTCGTGGCTTGTGTTTTGTACTGGCAAACCCCCATATCGTGCATAGTAGTTTTGTGTAGGTTATAAAATTGAATTGAACAGCTCATTAATAAACAAGTTCTAACTATTAACCCACATAAAAGTCGAATGCCACAGTTAAAGATGAGAGAATAATACATATTTAATTTAAACAATATTTATTTCTCAAAATTATAAATATGTACATTTGCAAATATATAAGTCTGACCGATTGAGAAACAAGCCATAATACATATTTACAAGTAAAGTAACAAATTATTATATTTCTATTTCACTCTTAGATAATTTATTTGTACAAGAAGATGATTTACAGCAACCATTCCATGCACATGAACCTTAGACGAGGCATGTCTGAAATGCCGAACCACCCAATCATCAACATACATGTAGTATATTACCACGGTTCTTACGAGTTTAGGGTTCGATTGTTTAATTATGTTATATGACTTGTAACAATGAAATAGAAGCGCATGCAAGTCATGCATTTTGTTAAAAAAGTGGTGGAGTTTCAAAATCAAAATAGACTGGTTGTAGCACACATAAGATCCACCTACTACCCTCTTAGATTCTATTTGGCATTCATGTGAAGTTATCCAAGTATGGCACATCAACAAATGACTGATAATAGACCCCGGTTTTCCTCGAACACATATTTTAAGAAAAAGAAAAAAGGCAATGCATACAATCAGATCTGAATTCAAGGTGCATTCTTTTTTTTGTTTCTTTTTAAAGTTTTTGCAAAACTTGACCTTCGACACCCGTACTCGAATATCTGCTTTCTCTAAAATTTCAAGTGACACCTAATGATTTGTGATTTTAATCAAATACCCTTAGTTTATTTGGGTTCTGAAAATGAGTAATTTGCACAATTTTTGTATCTTCGGGAGCTTATACCACATAACCTTGAGCTTTGACAACATTCAGTTATAAAACAATATATAAATCAATATGTATAATAAAATTTACCAAAATATTTAAAATAAAATTATTCTCTTATTAAACATACTGATTTTACAAAGAGTTATGTAGCAGGTCAAAACGTCAAATGGTGTTAATTTCACACCTTTTTATGTTAGAGTAGAATAACCGAAAAACCACCGTTTACATTTCTTGGTAAAACAGAAAATTTCTAGAGAATATGAGAATTCAATACAGAGAATTTAATAGTGACAAATTATTTACAAAGTATTACACCTAGTGACATATGAAAACATAAGATAATATGATATTATATATAACATAGGTTCATTAATCAATTAGTCAAATCAACAGTATAGTACTCTCTCAATAAGGTTTATAGTAAAATATCAAAATTCGAGGAAAACGAAATAAATTAAACTCCGTACATGGAAGATGATTCTGTTACTCAAATATTTGATCACAGTATGGCAAAATCGAGAGTAAAAGTATAATAATGGACTCCTCAAACAGAAGTACCACCAGGTTTCTTTTACAAACATAAACTGGATATAATAGAGATAAATAATTATTAGTTGATTATGAGTAATTGCACATGACCAAATTTCCATTATATTTTTCTGATCTGTGTAATATTAAATTGAATCGTAAACAGACCGCTAGAATTTAAATAACCATTGTTTTTATCAGTGAATTCAGACCAGAGAATAGGATTCCAATGAAAACAGTTTTTGTCTTTCTCGAATTTCATGTCCCTAACATTTTTAGTTAAAGTTTTACTGTCATCATCAATATTCAATACACTGAGTTGATAATCAATATTACATTCGTTTAGTCTAGGATTGTCAATTGATAATGGTGAAATATGAATATATAGACCACCAATATTTTCATTTACATTAAGCGTCCATACTATGTTGTTGTTTCTGAACTTATTATTTCTGTACAGACTTTTCTCAACATCACTAATATCAAACAGAAACTGATACGAAACTGGTATGTAAAATGGTTTAGACATAACTGCCCCTAACTGATGTGTAGGTAAACTACAATGTGCCCCATCCCACTGTAAAAAACGAACACTCAATTCATATTTCTTCTTAGCCTCATCAAATTTTTCTTTTTCTTTAAAACGATGTGATGTTTGTAAAAGGTCTAATGTTGTTATAGTTAAAGGTGGAATATTTGATTCACCTTCTAATGAATTTATTTCACTAGTAATTTCCTTTTCTCTTTTCTCTACTTCACTGACATTTTCTTCCAAATTTCGCCTTATTTCTTTTACACTTTGTTCAGTTCTTTTAATCATGTTAATGCAGGAATCTTCACACAAAGATTTCAGTTGTTCCAACGATTCTGATAATGTAGAGCGATTTTTCTTCAAATTTCTAATTCTGTTTTGGATGATTTTTTGTGAGCGTTGAATTTCTTTTGTGACTTTATTTCGTGTTTCGTCACATTCTATATCCAGTGTTTCGTGATCTTTGTGATTTCCTATAAATATACACTTTGAACACAATCCTACATTACAATCATGACAGTAATAATTCACCTCATTTCGTTTGTGTTTCGGACAATTTGGTTTAGATTGGACTTTTCGTTGTTTGGTTTGAACTGATGATGATGATGATGATGATGTTTGTGCTTCGTTGTTGAAGAAGACCATAATTTGCTCTAGTATGTAGTTGGTAGGAAACTTCTCAGCGCCACCTTCTGGAATCTCAACATTCTGCTTACAATAAGGACAGGGGAATTTCTCTATTTTATCACTGATATATCTCTCAATACACCGCAAACAACTTGTGTGCCCACATGGCAAAACTTTTGGTGTTGTAAAACTTGAAAAACATATAATACATGCCGGTATGTTACTCATTGAAGCTGTGGCCATTTTATTCCTGTAAAAAGCACACTGGATATGGTCTGGTTAAAAATGAATTATTCAGGTATAAAACACACTATTGATGTCCTCGTTGAAAATTGAATATTCTGGTATAAAACACACTATAGATGTATTGGTTGAAAATAGAATATTCAGATATAAAACACACTTAGAGATGTATTCTATATTCTATTCTAATATTGTCAAGAAATATTTGACCAAGAAGTTATAATCTGCTGACGTTCACAACCAGTCTGATGAGACCAAGTACAGTATGAATAGTCACCTTGATCGTGTCCAAAAAACGCCCCCATTCGTCATACTTCCTGTCAAAACCCATATAAACTGGTTACAAATGGCGTGATTATTTTCTTAAAAAGGCTTAAAAATGGTGAACAATAACTAGATTTGTTTGCCCCTATTTAGAATAAAAACACAATGAATAAACACATAAAATTTCATGACTCATCTCTTTGAGTTCTCCGGAAATGACTTCTCATTAGATATACAGGCCATTCATATAAAATCGACAGAGCTGTATTAGGTGTGGATATGAAACAGAATATTGTCACACATGTTCAAACGGTTTTAGATTTCCTAGAAATGACTTATTTCTTTCTCTATAGAAACAAAAGTAAAGAAACAACGATGGACCAAGTGCTTGAATATTGATGACTGAAATTTTGTGTTCTTGCTTAAAATAGCAAAATGACTAAATCATATCATGATCTGTCGAGAAGAATAAAGAGTCGTGGGTTGGTTAATGATTGTCGTGGAACATTTTACCGGGTCTAATTCATTTAATTATCCTGATGCTTCTGTATGCCCTGTGCCTTCAATGTTCAGTTATCCATCATTGGGTAGAAACATGATTTACCTTTCTGAAACGTGACCTTCAAACAGGGAAGATTTTTATCCATGAAACCATATACAATAAGTTGAAAGAATGTATTGAAATATTCAAACCAGACTTTTGAAATAGCAGTTTTGGGTCTAAATTCATTGAAGAGTCTTACAAATTCTTTGTCTTCTTCTGATAAAAATGGTCTAGCACTTTCTGTTTTTGGAAATTCACTGTCTAAATCTGACATGGCAGAAGCATATAAACCGTTAGAATCATTTCATCTTTTTACTTATTTATACTCTTGAAATAAATCAATTATATCATAATGATTTGTTCTAGTATATTCCTTTAATACATTTCATTCCTTTTATCTGTTTTCTACTTGCTGAAACTCTTCCTCCTTTAATAGAATCTCTTATGAATTTTCTTATAAAGGTATTAACGTGTGAATAACATTTCCTATGTTTTGTTTTTCATAATGATAAAACTAATACCGACCCTTTAAAGATAAAGAAGAAGCTGTTAGATTATTGAAACTATTCTGGTTTACAACTTCTTTCATAAATGTGTTATATTTTACTAACAAGCTACAAAGGGTGTCCCTTTTTGCAAATGGTTCCCATTCATGTCTTAAAGATTTCCAATTATGTTCGGTATATTTAGTAATGTCTACATGCCACGATCTTTCTCAAATTCATTGGTAGATTAGATGAATTTCCCAATGCTGCCAAACTGGATTTTTCACATTGAAAGGAACACGTGAAATTAATATTTTATATATCATTTTTATTGGTTGTTATTTCTTTTTGTTTTTTCCATTTTTTTCTGTAGATCTTCATTGGTGAATGGATTAGATAAAGATAAAGACAGAACACCTCGCTGTATGTTTTTGTGGTAGTTTCATTACGTTTTATGAATAATCCAGTTATCAAATCCACTACCGTTATGAAAAATCAATGTTAATCTTTTTTGATTTACTTCTGTTAAATATTTCAACATTTGATCTATACAATCTGTTTTTACAAATATTCCCACTATATTCATTAGTTTATCATAAAATTCTTCTGGAATATTATTATTAGTAGAATCTGGAAAGTTACGTTTTACTCTGTCTAACATCTTCTTAGCTTAAGATTAACTAAAGAACAGGAATAAGGAATTGCTATGTGTGTTTCACTTTCGGAAAATGTTTCACAATCCCAAGCGTACAAAGCATCATCGCTCATATTTGAAAACTCGTTTAGTTTCAAATCAAAAGTAAGACTTGTTTAACTTCATCTTCGTGTTTTCCATACTTTTTCATACTTTTTTCTATTTTATTCCCGAACCTTTGTTGGTTTTTCTTATAAGACAGAAATATAAAGTTATGTAAGTACAAAACCCAATATTGTTCCCCATATACATCATTAGGATATAATTGTCTTTTTTTGGGATTATAAATTTGAAATGAAGTGTTACATCTCTTATTGAATTCATTAATTCTAGCACATGTCATTAGTGCTTTTGAAAAACTGTTGATGAATTCTTGAAATTCTTTAGTTAAATCCTTTTTCATAACATGATTTACATATTTGATAAAACAGTAACCATCTGATGGTATGTAACATTTTTCACCTTTATATTCATGTCTCTTTTTAAGTAGTGCAGTTCCTTTAACAACTTTTGATCTTTTTATTTCTTGGAAATTGTCTTCACGTAGAATTAATTTTCCTGAGAGCAGAGCAGTCAGACTTTTGTTCCATTTTTTCTAAAAATCCATATTTTTTAAATTCATGAATTGTTGATTCACTATCATCATCGCTAACTCTTTCATTTTCATTCCTCAATTTTCCAAAAGGAAGATTGAAATGATATGATTGTGGTTTATTTTTTTTTAATTCCATGAGGTTGTTTTCTAATATGGTTATCTTTTTTTCCTGATTTAAAACTTCGTTATTAATTCTAGTAATCTGTTGTTGAATTTCGGTGTATCAATGTCTTTAACTTTAATATAGGTTTTAATATCGGTTAGTTCTTCTTGTAATTGACTGTTAAGTTTAGTGTCTAGAGCAGTTATTTCCCGTTGTAATGCATCTTCATTTATACTTGGTTTAATGCTATCTATTAGTTATTTAACATCTAAGTTTTGTTTTGCAATTTATCATCTTATATATTAATGAACTTAGATTTTGTAACTGAGTTTTGTCCACTACATTGACTAATTGTTGTTGAATTAAACGTTTCAAACTAGTTATCTCTTGCTGTAGTTTAGTTTCATCAATATAACTTAGATCTTTCAGTTTAGTTTCATCAATATAATTTTTATTATTTTGGTTGTCGTCTGAAGAATCTTTTCACATCACTTATTTTATCTTTTAAATAGTCTTTATCTACTCCTGTCTCAATTTAATTTATTAATCCAGTAAATATTTCTTGTGAACAGCATCATTATCATTTTCCGGAGATTTTGAATTAGTTATTTTGTAATTGTTCATATCTATATCACCTTGAAGTGTGTCTCCAATTTGATCCACAATATAAGGTTTTGTTTCATTTATCCATGCTGTAGTGTAAGGTTTTTTTACTATATAAAGGTAAAGAACCTAATCCAAACTTGTTCGCCATTTTTATTAAGTTAAATTTATTATAACTTCTTCACACTGTTTTCTTAAGCTTAACTGTTAAACAATCTTTATATATACTCTTTTAACTGGCATATTAATTAAATCAGCTTTATCAAATACTTTAACTTTTGAAAATTTTTTAGTTTTTTCTAAATTTTTTATGAATTTCATCTTTTAACAGTTTTATAATGAGCGCTCTTTCCATTTTCTCTTTAAATGTTGGATTTGGAATATTTTCAAGTTCGTTTATCATTTGTTTGTCTGCTTCATGTCCAAACTTTATCTTTTCATTTCTGTATAATATATCATGTTTGAGTGAAGCAGCGTCAACTCTATCGACAGGTTCGTCGCCTGGTTTGGGTTCTAACCAGATCTAACCTTGTACAAGGATCAGTGTAATTCTGTCTGTCTTCAGATTTTTTCATTGCATCGTTTATTCTAACTCCTGCTTTTGCATCAGATCCAAGAGCTTGCGCTTCAGAACAAATAAGTGATTTGTTGTTTGAAACAAAGATAGCTGCGTTGGGAATTAGAGAAGTTAGTGCTGAAATGAAACCATCTCCTGAATAATCAGTTTCGAATTTTTCTTGTTCGTGTTTTAAAATTAAACTAAAATAATAATTAAATTATTTTAATGGGTTATATTGAATTTAAAAAAGACTATTAATATGATATGCTTTAAAAATCTTATTTTTTAATGGGTTTTTAGTACAAGTGTAGGGTTCCATGACAAATGATAACTGATGATAGGGAAGTCGTGATCTAAACGATAATGATGAAGGAGTTAGAATCTTGAATCCAATGTTTTCGGTAGTGATAACGCGAAAAAAATACAATCAAAAATAGTGCCTATCATCATAGTGACAGAGTATATTTGATTGATCTCGTGATTCAGAGGTAAGTCCCGAATATAATGACGTCATGTATAATGGGTCCTTCCTGGTTTAGCACCGTGTCAGCTGTTCCCATACAGTGGGACATCTGTTGTGTTTATGGAGGTGTTCAGTTTGTGCTTGAAAATACATGAAAGCATAACATAGAATTTGCTAAGAATTTGGATTGGATTGGCTAAGTCCTTGTTTTTTTTTTCATTACGTTTGTGCTTGATTTTAGAGTCTGAGTCTGGATTTCAGTACATGGAATCGGGCCTTTAAGAAATGACTATAAACGGTGGGCGCTATCAGAACTTATTGTCGTATCTGAACGATTACATGCCTTTTCCTAGTCAAATCATACAACCAACATCACCAACAATCTAGGCTGGGATCTGACTTTCAGATTAACAATTACGCGTGTAAGGTATTGTATATCTTAGCCCCCATATTTGATTCTGTTGAAATTTGCAGTAGGGATACAATATTTATGATAATAAACGTGTTTTAATTAAGAACATATTTTTTCTGCAATGCTATCTCCAGGGGATTCATCTATAATTTTTAGACCAATCAGGTCGTCGTTCAGGGTGACGTTATAGATATAACATTCTCCACTGTCACCAGCGTGATCCAACAATAAACATTCACTCATCTGAGTACATGTCGCTATACATTGGTTAAAATCTGTACCATAAGAATAGAAAATGAGCGGTTTTAAATATAGATAACAGTATTGGTCCTCTAGAAAGCCAATTGTACATCTCGCATCTTTACGACACTCTTCATCACATTGAGCCTTGGTTGAGCCTCTTCGTTCCATATATAAATCACCATTAAATTTTAGATATGAGTCTTTAATGAAATTATATTTACATTCTGAAATGTAAATGAAGTAGTAAAATATATATTTTAGGTAGGGTAAAATTCTATAAACGTATGATTATAAGCTGTCAGCTTACAAATACAGAGTAGTAAACAGGGTGTTGTTGCATTTTCTCATCAACATAAAATGTAACGTAACTGTAAAATAAAGTGCATGTAATGCCATGTATCATTACCCTTTGTTTTGGAAATAACTTTTTTGCACTTATGGTCACAATTCCCAGCAACTACTACAATGATTATCTGTAATACCTTGTTATTTGTTGGTGTTTAAATGTAAATTGACACATAAAAATAGATGAAAGATCTAAAAGTACTGAGAAACTTACGTTTACAACTTAGTATATCGGTTTCCCACAGTCCTGATGCCAGACACGAGATTTCAGCTTTACCACTAAATGGTGTGTGTCCCTCATCACAAGTGTAGGTGGCAGTGTTACCGCCATTAGCAAACCCCGTTGATGAAATACCTGGTGGAGGAAGTCCACAATCTTTCGCTGAACAAATTAGTACATTGGTTAGCCACTGTCCTGAGGCCAGACAAAAGATCTCAGTATTACCACTTAATGGTGTGTGTCCCTCATCACAAGTGTAGGTGGCAGTGTTAGGAAACGTGGTACCACCTTTAGCAATCCCCGTTGAAAAAGTACCTGGGGGGAGAGGTCCACAATCTTTCGCTGAAAAAAATATGTTGAATTAGCATTTCTCGTAAAGTCAATGTCCTATGCGCGAAGCTACTAGAAATGTATAGTTTTTAGACGTCCAAGTATTTTGAACCTAATTGGTGAATAAAGACAGACAACGCCAAGCAGTTTGTAATGAGGGAGACCTGAAATAGGAATTGACAGTACCGAAAAACTTACGTTGACAAATTAGTATATCGGTTTCCCACAGTCCTGATGCCAGACACGAGATCTCAGCCTTACCGCTTAATGGTATGTGGCCCTCATCACAAGTGTAGGTGGCAGTGTTATCGCCATTAGCAAACCCCGTTGATGTAATACCTGGTGGAGGAAGTCCACAATCTTTCGCTGAAAAAATTATTAACATTAATTGATTAAAATATATTAAATATTTGTAAGCGCAAAAACAAAAGCATCCGACTGAGTATCGGAAAGATTTCTCCATCAGAAAATTGCAGAAAAAAATTATCTGTTCCTTTTGACACAAATTTGTGGGTAAAAAAAAAAACATTGTTCTTAGTTCGTTAGAATTGAAGTGGGGGTGCATTTTCTAGGGGGCAAATGTCCCACCCTCCTGCACCAACAGGTACCGCAACTGCTTTGATCACGGACCATTTCTCTAAGGGGTATTGACATTTCCCACCCATGGTTTTTATTATTTCGTTGAAATTGTATTCGATTTGACTTTGTTTTCGTAACGCTTTGTTTTGCAAATGTTGACCTTTTTTCAACTTTTGTCGCAATGTCCAGCAAAAATTACGATGTCAGGTATATTCTGACATGATTATCTGTAATATCTTGTTGTTCGTTAGTGTAAAGTGTAAAATAGCGCATGTTGCCAGACCGAAAATAAAAAAAGACGTACTGCCGTATTTTGGGGCTGGATTTTAGTTTTGAATATATAACCCTTAGTACTAGGAATGTACGAAAATTGCATAATTCCTTAAAAATACTTCAAACTAGGAATTTTATAAACTATTTCTATATGTCTATTCTATATATCACAAAGTATCTTAAATGACGAGTCGTCATTTTAACTATCAGGGATGTAATTGTGGTGACTATAGCATCTGCAACAGATTGCTAACCAAACATAGGAAGCCGAAATTTTAAATTTATTTCCGTAAAAGCACTTGACCTTAAATGACCTTTTGACTTGTTAATATCTTCATTTTTCTCGTTTGTGCATAACTTCCGATTTTATAGTCATTTATTTAAAAAAAAAAATGAAAGTCACGTGAGCTAATTTGCATACCTTGAAATATCTCCTATGATCTCATTTTGCTTAATCTCTCCTTTCAATTGACACTAGGTGTTTTGTCAGAATTGATCTTTTATATATTAGATTGTTTTTTTTATTTGTTCTATAGTTATTGTGCGTTGTTTTGACCCGAAACACACGGATTTTAAATCACGGAATTTTTAAGATCGTCGACAAATACGTTTTGATATATGAAAGAACTGGACCTACAAAGTAACAAATGATCAATATAGTATATGGCAGTAACATGTAAGGTGCCATTTGGAAATGACAAACTTTTCTTTACCTATAGTTAACAGGTTTTTTCACGTTTTTTACCGAACGTTTTCGCTTAAAAACACGTTTTCAACGTCTTATCGGATATGCATATTATTATTAGCTTTTGAGTTGACATAGAAGCTGTATTGATATCGTTAATTTTTGTTCTTGTTGCTGTTCAAGTACCTAGAAAAAGCTGCAATACTTAAATATAATTGCATCATATCATTTCCATATACATCAAGACTTCCGGACTGCAACCGGAAGTGGTGTAGCGGAAAACTTCTAAATTTTGAAAATCAGTTATAAAACGATTATATTTTGTTCAATTTACGTCCATTTTATTTTTGTATTCTTAAAATAATTTCTAAAAATATTTTGTACGAAGAGTTAATTTCACAACTTTGTAGGTCAGAGTGGAACAACCAAGAACCCACTGTTTGAAAAAGCACATTAAAGATATTTATGCGGTCGGAAATTTCCAAACAGTCTATTCCCACTCATGTTTTTACGAAATATAAATGTATTGAACGTAAAATAGCTCGGAAGCTGACAAATTTGTGTCAAACAGGTCTAGTTAGCATTATTTTAATTAATTATTATTAATTATTATTATTCAGTCCTTTTTCTTTTTGGGTAGGGTTTGTTGGCTCGGGACATTAGAAATAAGAGTTCTTTTAGTTTAAACTTACTGCAAAATTCACCAAATGTGTTTGGTGGACAGTTGCATTTTAATTTACCATCTTCTACCACCAAGTTTCCACCATTTTGACAATCACGAATAGGGTCTAATAATGATACAAATAGAGATATACTCAAAAACGTTTTTAAATGATGATGGTAAGAAAAACAAAACACGGAGATCGTAACTGTTTATGGAGTCTTATTGAACAGAAATTTTGATGGGACCAAGTTTTACATTGACATTTTCCATTAACACATTTCCCATTATAATTACAGTCTATCATGGAACAGGGATCAGCTGAAATTGACAAAGCATTACTATTGTATGTGTAAAGGGTAAAGGTTTTTTTCTTCCGATCGTCCAAACCCTAGAGCTCATGTTCGCTAAAAAGTAAACGTAACTGTACAATACAGTGTATCGAAATGCCATGTATCATTACGCTTTGATTGGGAAATAACTTTTCAGTACTTATAGTCGCAATTCCCAGCAAATACTACAATGTCAGACATGTTAAGATATGATTATCTGTAATACATTGTTATTTGTTGGTGTTTAAATGTAAATTAACACATAAAAATAGATGAAACTACCAAAGATCTGAAAGTACTGAGAAACTTACTTTGACAAATTAGTATATCGGTTTCCCACAATCCTGATGCAAGACACGAGATCTCAGCCTTACCACTTAATGGTGTGTGTCCCTCATCACAAGCGTAGGTGGCAGTGTAAGGAAACGTGGTACCACCATTAGCAAACCCCGTTGATAAAACACCTGGTGGAGGAAGTCCACAATCTTTCGCTGAAAAAAATAATTAGCATTTCTGGTAAATGTCTCATCCTTGGAGCCACTAGAAATGAATAGTTTTTAGACGTCCAACTTTTTTGGACCTAATTGGTGAATTAAGAGACGGACAACGTCATGCAGTTTGTAATGAGGGAAATTTTGATGAAGACCTGAAGTAGGAATTTAATCTAACAGTACCGAGAAACTTACGTTTACAAATTAGTATATCGATTTCCCACAATCCTGATGCCAGACACAATATTTCAGCTTTACCACTAAATGGTGTGTGGCCCACATAACAAGTGTAGGAGGCAGTGTTAGGAAACGTGGTACCACCTTTAGCGAACCCCGTTGATAAGATCCCTGGTGGAGGAAGTCCACAATCTTTCGCTGAAAAAATAATTAGCATTTCTGGTAAAGCCAATGTCCTATGCGCGGAGCTACTAGAAATGAATAGTTTTTTCCACGTACAACTTTTTTTTTAAACCTTATTGGTGAGTGAAGACGATCAACGCCATACAGTTTGTAATGAGGGAAATTTTGATGAAGACCTGAAATAGGAATTGAATCTAACAGTACCGAAAAACTTACGTTGACAAATTAGTACATTGGTTTGCCACTGTCCTGAGGCCATACAAAAGATCTCAGTATTACCACTTACTCGTTTGTGTCCCTCATCACAAGTGTAGGTGGCAGTGTTAGGAAACTTGGTGCCACCTTTAGCAATCCCCGTTGAAAAAGTACCTGGGGGGAGAGGTCCACAATCTTTCGCTGAAAAAAATATGATGAATTAGCATTTCTGGTATAGCCAATGTTCTATACGCGGAGCTACTGGAAATGAATAGTTTTGTTACGTCTTGCTTTTTTTAACCTAATTGGTGAATTAAGACAGACGTCATGCAGTTTGCAATGAGGGAAATTTTGATGAAGACCTGAAATAGGAATTGAATCTAACAGTACCGAAAAACTTACGCTGACAAATTAGTACATTGGTTAGCCACTGTCCTGAGGCCAGACAAAAGATCTCAGTATTACCACTTAATGGTGTGTGTCCCTCATCACAAGTGTAGGTGGCAGTGTTAGGAAACTTGGTACCACCTTTAGCAAACCCCGTTGATAAAGTACCTGGGGGGAGAGGTCCACAATCTTTCGCTGAAAAAAATATGATGAATTAGCATTTCTGGTAAAGCCAATGTCCTATACGCGGAGCTACTAGAAATGAATAGTTTTTTTACGTCCAGATTTTTTTAACCTAATTGGTGAATAAAGACAGACAACGCCAAGCAGTTTGCAATGAGGGAAATTTTGATGAAGAGTTGAAATAGGAATTGAATCTAACAGTACCGAGAAACTTACGTTGACAAATTAATATATCGGTTTCCCACAGTCCTGATGCCAGACACGAGATCTCAGCCTTACCACTTAATGGTGTGTGACCCTCATCACAAATGTATGTGGCAGTGTTATCGCCATTAGCAAACCCCGTTGATGTAATACCTGGTGGAGGAAGTCCACAATCTTTCGCTGAAAAAATTATTAACATTTCTGGTAAATGTCTCATCCTTGGAGCTACAAGATCTCATGTTTGCTAAAAAGTACCCCCCCCCCCCCCCCCCCCCCATAGATACACATAGATAGAGAACCCAAGGTCCATCTGAGATAACATTTCCATTGATTTCACTAATATTTCCATGTTTGTTTAAGATTTAATTACGTGGCAGGTGAAGCGTGTAACGATATATTTTACTATGTATTAAGTCATACCTTTCCTTGTCTGGCTATAGTATCTACTATCATATCCCTCTCCAACATCAATAAAAACAAGAATAACCAACACAGCAACAAGACAATGTAAACGCATGTTTATTTGCGAATAAAATTCCTGTAAAAGAGATTTAGTGTGAAATTATATTCAATCATCAATTTTCCTTTATGTCCAGCCACATTTTATATTCTACAGCTTTTGGAGTATATGTGTCTCAATTGGTTCGATACTCTAGAGCATGTTCTTTCTATGCTGATTTATTTGCTAGATCGAAGCATTTAACATCTAAGCTACTAGGGTATTTATCAAATTCGACTCAAAACGTCCCTTAAGAAATCTGAAAATTGAAAAACATAAAATATAAATTTCTACTATCATCACAATAATATGTCGAGGTGCCACCAGATGATTTTTACATTTTACATTACACTAGGTTATGTTTTGTTTCACGTTGTATTTTGCTTCTTTCCCAATGTGCCGCTTACCGATTTCACCCCTTCCCATTTCGCCACTTACTCATTTCAACCCTTCTCATTTCGAAGCTTCCTTTTTTAAAAATGAGACCACGTAATCAATTATACTTGTTCCAGTGTGAATTTCCCGTTCCCGTATTCATTTTACTGGAGCTGTAGGATTTTGATAAAGGGTAGGCTAGAATGTTGCTGCCACAGCAAAATTTCCAAATCACAAACAAAATAAATATTTGTATTCAATAACTTCAATTAGTTGAAATTATAACTAAATGTAAATGTTTGACAGCTGTATAAGTTCTTTTTAAAGTTTTCTGATATCAATTGAATTTCAATTCTTTTTGTGTATTCCTACTCTTGCACTGTCCACGAAAAATGAAACAGGGGCAAATAAAAAAAAGGGACATATCGGGAAGGGACATAAAAAAACCTGTGTACACTGTATAAATCCATAGCGATTTATACATAAGTGTACACAGGTTTTTTCTGTTTATACATCCATAAACTGAAAAAATGTTCAGGTTATTCCTTATAATTAAATCAACTCGAATACGTGTTTAAATATTTATCTAAAATAGCAACAAACTAAGGCACAAAATTGGCGCATAAATACCCAAATTTTAACATATAACGTTAATGAACTGATACTAACATTAGAGACGTCCAAGAGAACAGCCAATCAGCAATAAGTAGGTCACCTATTTATAGTCTACTATCGACTGCTTGAAAGTTGACGGAGCGGCCACATTTAAAGTATTATCAATTATTGAAAGACGAGTTCGAAATAAGTCAAAATATCATGATTTTGTTGATATTTGGAGTGTGCACATTTGAGGGAATTTTGAAAATACTGTAATCATTCAGTGAAGTGTAGATTTCGGCTCTGGTGACGTTTCGAAGGAAAGACATCGACGCTGTGTAGTGGCCACGTCAATCAAACTCAATGATAAAAGAAGTCCGTTAAGGGGCGGCGCTTACATTTACATTCCGTTTACACAGATATAGACCGAATTCACGTGACCGCTGTTATCCAATCAAATCGCGTGATACCGTGTAAACGGAATCGTGATTTAATTATTAAGCTTTGACAACATTCAGTGAGCTGTTCTTACATTGTGTTTGTCATAACTTTTTTAACGATGTCTTTATTTAAAATGTCCGCCTTCAACTTTCGGAAACATGCTGCTTTAAAAATAGGTGATTTTAATATTTATAGGGACCCCTGTTCTAATTAACTTAATTTTAAAACAGAATTATAATCAACAAATCTACAGCTTTATAAAGTATATAAACCAAATTTCAAACATAACAAATAAAAATAAAAATACACTCTTATAAGAGAAGATATACATTTTACAACGAATTTAGAAGATTATGTAACAGGTCATGAAGAATATTTTGTAAATGAACCAAAAACGAAGTAAATATGAAACATTATATTCATGTACGAATTAGTAATTTTTTTTTATCCCAACAAAGTATATTGTGATGACTTTACTGAAAACATGGCATCAATCCACTGTTTAATGGCATAGTAAAGATATCTTTACAACTAGGAAACGTTTCCAAACATTGACAGTCTATTCCCATTCAGGTTTAATAAACGAAAATTTGCTCGGAAGCTGACAGATCTGTGTCAAACAGGTTTAGTTTTCCCTTTCTTTTCAACTTTTTTTTTTATCAAATCCCATTCAGCTATTTTGCGAGCGCTAATGCGTAGAGAAACCCTAACATACTTAGTTTTGTAGATCGTTGGAAGAATTTGGATTTAAAAAAAAAAGAGCGATAAGGAAAGTTGAGTTGAGCTAAAATATGAGTGTACCACCCACCCCCTCCCTCCTTGTTAAAATGTTTTATTGTTTGACATTGTTTATGAACATCTTGATCTTACTATTTTATTTTGCTTGAGTTTTATGAAACAAAAACTATTAATGTATTTTTTACATCTCAGATAGCTACATTGTATATGGAGAGCCGCATTGACTCGGTGAGTCAGGCTTTTGCTCGTTAACTTGTAGATTAAGGTTCAATCCATGCATTTTGGGCCTTTCGGAGGAACGTCCCTCTCCCCTATGCCCCCCCCCCCCACCCACCTTTCCCGTCTCTGGTCACATGTGCCTTATTAGTGTACCCATAAAGGATGTACCTTAATCAATATGTTCCTATTTGTCCCTAATTGTCCATCCCAATGACCAACAAATTATTACAAAATTTTCTACTTACGGTTTAGTTTGTGTTTGTTTCTGATATTTGTGTCGATTTTCTCAGGGTTTATATCGCTAATAGTGAAAAAAAAAATGCTCGTAAAAATTATTTTGCAAGAGTTGGCTAACCCATTTGAAATTTTTTTTCGGTTGTCAGCTGCATCGCAGGTTGATATCACGTGTGGGTCGTCCTGAAAGCTTTAACCGACTCATGGGTGAGTAATCTGTGGCACCTGTAAATTGAGTTACAGTTCTCGGTTGAACACGTGCAATGTACACATAATTTCAAAGGGTCTTGCAGCATCTGGTAGCTATTTGGACAGTTGTCACCTGGACTAGGCGCAGTTTTGTTGGCATTTTCCGAATCTCCAGTTGTGCGGGGTTTACACTTGTCTATTTGAATCTTCGAAACCCACATTTTCGCATTTTATTCGGAAAGATTGATATTTGTACAGTTAAGCCACACCATCATTATCCCCCTAACCTATGCCCCGTCTGTGGGTCCATCAACTGAAATCTCGTCAGCCATTTCAGACTGACTGCGCAACCACAAATCTAGGATCATAAGATTAAGTGATACTAACAAAACGAAAGTAGCTGATGGCCAACACTAATTTACAGTCATCGTAAAGGCATGTTCCTTTAGCAACGGAACGATGAATAATGTTAAATGTGAATAATTATCGTACCCTTGCTAAAGGAACATGTGGTAAAGGTAATTTGGCATATTTTTAAAGAAACGCAACTTCGCAATTTGGGAAATCCCCATAAAACATGGCCTAGACCCTAGTCCAGCTGACATTGACAACTGTCAAAATAGCTATGATAGGCTGGGATAGAGGCGGATTATTCTGATAATTCGTGAGATCTGGTCGTGAGTTACTCGATCTTCTTCATTCTCCCAAATTTGTTCTGATCGTGGTAATTGGTTGATTGGTAGTCGAATGGTAGTCGGATAGGATTGCGGCAGGCTCCGTTTGATTGGCGGATAACCACGCTACTGCGTCGCTGATGGCAAGAAGTTCTGTTGTGCACACTGAATAGTGAGGGGGATCCTCTTACCGATGCGGATGCTTTTTGATTGGATGCTCAAACGGTAACCGGTTGCTGAACTACTCATGGAAACAACGGTTTGGTCGTCAATTGAACTGGTGCCCTCTCAATAGATCAATGACCGCATGCTCGTAAGAAATACCCCCATTCCTTTGGACTATCAGGACCACAACAACCAAACACATTAGAACAGCGTTCACACAGAGCTTATTAAAACCATAATATCATAAAACCAGAAATATGTGGACAAAGCTGGATCTAACAAGATATGATAGAATATTTGACCATTAACTGAAAAGGAACAATATTACAATAATAAGTAACTATTCATATAATTTGGTCAAGAGACGAACTCTTTAAATACTACAGAATGTAAACACAGCTGTTTGAGGAATTATACTTTCACTTTCCATATAAGGCAATCGACAGTGCGCGCTAATCATGAGTCACGACTCATTGATGATAGAACGATTTTGGACCTAAACTTTACATATAAATTACAGGACAAATTCAAAATGACAGGGGGTTAAGGACCGCTAGAAATGTTCTACGATATACATTAAATAACATATCAAATGTTCAACCACTAATCTCCACAAATAACAGAAATTAGAACGATAAAGACTTAACCAGAATGTCAGCTATGCTCTTTGAGAAGGAAGCTATGACGTCACGTTGACCAGTTCGTGTTACTATCGGTTAGGGTCGGTTCGTTGATATTAACCTGTGCTCTTTAATTACAATGACCCAACATTATATTACATTACATCCGAATTTCTAAAGCGCACAAAATTAATACCGAGGTTCATAGTGCGCTTTCAAAGTTTTGTGAATTATCTTTCTTCTCATGATTATCAAACAAATAAGTTTTAAGATTTTTCTTAAAGAATTCCACAGTTTTGGATAGTTAAAGTTTAATTAGCAGTGAGTTGCACAGGTAAGGTGATGCGTGATGAAATGCATGTGTTGACTGTATTCAAAAATAGTCTGGGACACTGAGGTTTTGAGAAGATGATCTGAGAGAGCGAGATGATGAAAGTGTCAATCAAGTCTGTTATGTAACTTGGAGCTGTACCATTCAGCGCTTTATCTGTTTGAGAGAGGATTTTAAAAATGATAAAATAGCGTTGTTTAATAGGCAGCCAGAGCAAACTTTCCAGAACTGGAGTTAAATATTCATGCTTTCTGGTTCCAGTTAAAAGTCTGGCTGCGACATTTTGGACACGTTGCAATTGTTGAATTTGATAATCAGGAAGGCCATACAGAATTCCGTTATGGTAATCAAGTTTGGATGTTATTAGGGCCTGTATCTATGGAAGGTGGAATGGCTTTTTATTCAATGTTCTTCTTTGCTATTTCTTAACTTTTAATTCTAAATTCTTATCTATTAATTTGCACGCTTAATTCAACATTTGTTATTGCAGACTTTTTCTTTCCTCTTGGTTAAATATGAATGGAACCATTGGAAAACCGCACCTCTTAAACCAATTTCTGTCCACAGAGTATCCAGTAGACCATAGTATCTAAGGTATCAAATGCGGCTGACAAGTCAAGTATGACCAAGATCGCTGAGTGTCGTCTATTGATCTCCTAATATATATCATCAACATTCTTAATAATTTCTGTTTCTGTGGTGTGAAATGGTTTGAAGGCACTTTGGTATGGATTAACCAAATTATTCAAATGCATGTATTTATTCATTTAAATGTTAAACTGATCTAAATGTTTTGTGTTTCCTCTGGTTGATAATCATCATCTATGATCTGATTCTCTTTTGGTTAGTGTTCAATCATTTTATATCAAAATGTAAATAATGATTTTTAGTTACCAATCCAAAATTACAATCGAGTTATCCCGAACTTTTTGAAATATAAACTGAAGATACAATCCTATGATGGTATTCTTACGTGGAGAATCAAGAAACAAAAATATTTACACCTGTAATTTAATTAGACTTGTGCAGGTAGGTTTATTTACAAGCATATTTCAGAATGCCATACGTTTTTTTTTGTAGCTTGAACATGCTGCATGTAGCATATGTCATTTTAAGAAAGAAAAAATCATAAAATTAAACTCAACATGTGCATATATATATAAAATGATGAATTCTTGATATACTGATAAATAGTTTCTTAAATAAAATTTCATGCATCATCGAAACTGTTGGTTCTAAACACAGGTGGGAATAAAGCAAGCTTGTCAGTCAGGTGAGGTTGACGCCCACTACAGCTGATAAGATTATTATATTATTATTATACTTATCAACCTTCTACCAGTTCCGTTAAAACGTCATCTGAATTTGGAGATTTTTGGGAATTGTAATAATAATAATAATAATATAAGTTATATATTGTCTGCTTCCAACTCGTTAAATTCAGATAATGACCTCAACTGTATCTGTTCCATTGATAGATTATATCAGGTTTAATTACATTTCATCAGTACCACATTCAGTGCCAGTTATTTAGGTTGTATCCCGTCCCAGATTGATCAACAACAACTCAAGGTTATTAGATTATATGTAGAAAACCATGACAAGACTCTAAGATGTTAAAAAAACATTAGAAGGAACACGGAATGGCTTTACATGCATGTGATCCAAGCAGGCCCGTAGCCTGACCAGTATTCCTTGGGGGGCAAACGTGCAATCGAGGGGGGCAATTTAGCAAAGCACCTTGACAGACGATGTCCAGGTTATTTTTGTTATTGCCGTTTTAGTTTAAACGTAGTCGGGTATGTTTTATGGCAAAACGTTGAACAAATACGTCCAAGTTAATTTTCTGGGTACGCTTCCTGTTGAAGGCAAGAAGAACAAGATTGCGCTGGCGAAGCTGAGTCATAGATCGTCGTTGTGGTGAGTCAACGCGAGTAAGTGTTGAAAAGCTGCTTTCACAGAGTGCAAGTCGTAGTGTCGGAACCATCAGGCAATTTGTCTTTTTTTATAAAATATTTATCCATTTTTCCTACTTGGGTTGTTTGATTCATATGAATACAATTTAGGATAATATATGTCTATTGCTTAATATTTATAATCAACCAATCAAATCTTTTGAATTTTGAGACGAGACAGATTACAATCCAGTATCAGACCAATAATTTGGTTACCAACGACGCTTTACTTCAGACTTTTTATGATTTTCAACGAACTCAATTGTATCAAATTATCTATTCTTATGTAATTTAATTTAAAAATGTTATGAAAAGCTATGATGTCTTGTTTCATCCTCAGCTAAGTATAAACAGAAAGGTATTTAAAAACAGTTCTTAAAGTGATACTACGTCTTAGAATTAACATAAAATTGAAGAAGAAACTGCCGCCACTGGCTATCTCTGGGATGTTCAGACCCCTCTGTTGTTTTGATGTGATGTACATGTATTCTAAACAAAGTGTATGGTATCGACAATGTATATGTCTGATAATTGTTTCTGTGTGTAGTCAGGAAGCCACCTAAACTCACATATGTAATAATGAGCAAAGTAAACTATGGTATGACATCGTACCGTTCAATAGGTGCTCACATAACCCATATCAAGTAATGCAAATATAATAGACAACTATAGTAAAGGAGCGCCTTCACTATCCGTTTGACCAATCACACCTTAGTTTCAGAAATAGGATTTTTTTTAGCTTACATAATCGGTGATAGTGTTCACAGCTCATCGTCGAAATTTGACCCTTCAAATCTATGTTTATCCATAATTATTCACATTTGAAAGTTAAAAATTCGACTCGAATTTTATTGAAACTATGCCATATATAGAAAACACATTACAGGAATAGACAGTGAAATTTCTAGTTTGAGGTATATTTGAAGGGATTATTCGATTTTCGTTTTAGTACTCATTAAGACTATTAAAGCACAATATAGATCCGAATTCATACCGGAAAATGCCGACTGTTCCCCTTTAATTTTAATGTGATATACTTCATAACAATTCATTATGTGTATGACTTTAGACCATATTTTCAGTAGAGTGT